TATATATATATGAGGATGAGATTAAATGTTGTATGTGTGTCCCTTTTTATTGTATTACTTTACTTTCTCTTAAGCAAATATTTTGTTTTATACATATGGGATTTGTGTTTTTGATCTTGCTCGATCCCAATTCTGATTAAAACACACATAGTTAATTTTCCTAAAATCAGCAAAATACTATTTAAAATTAAAATACTTTCTGTGGGAAAACTAAAAAATAAATACTACATTTAACTTTTTACTATTCTTGATCAAATAACATATTAAGTTTAAATTTAACGGTAAAAGCAAGGGGGTTAATTTTTACCATATTTGTTTTGTGATATCAACAGGTCACTAATCTTCACTTCCTCAACCGAAAGGGAAAAACAGAGATATTAAAACTCAAGGCTACCTACGTCTTACGATGTTCATTGGATTTCAGTTAATGCTGAGATAGCATTATTCCATGAGTTCATGAATATAGGTCTTGAATTTAAGAGCCTATTGTTAGATTTAAAGACTTGTGTGTGTGTAATTATTTTTATACACTTAAAGCAATATGGCTGTATAGAATATGAGAAAGTACGGGCAGGCATGTTGGAAAGACTGAACTCTATGAATATTTTACTACTTAAAAAACTGAAGAGTGAATTTAGACCATTCTAATATGTTTCTCAAGTGGCTTGTCTCAAGAATGTTTCTTGTTTATATGTCTTTTCTTTCCTGATCAACAGCTATTTTTATTTCCTAAAGTTATTGCAAAACATGGGAGAGAATTCTAGTTTTGTTTCCTATACAGATAGCTTTATTGTGTGCTCACATTTTGTCTTGTAAATTAATTAAACTGCTGCCTATTTGACCCCCCCCCCAAAAAAAATAGAGCTTAGCAGTTCTTGGTACTATGAATGAAACATGCATTTTTATTTATAGCATTTTCCAAGAACCCTTGTGTGAACTCTGTCTGGCATGTTAGTCTAAAATAAAATTGTAAATTAGGCATTGTCTTTCTTTGGGAGTTCTTTACCCCATTCTTTTAAAACAGCTCTGACACTTCCTATATAATATGTTTTCTAGATTATTTCCCATTTTTTTCCTTTTCTGTAAATCCCTTCAGTTGGTGTATTTTTTTTCTTGTCTAAAAATCCTTATCTTATGACTGGTTAGCCAGAGACGGGTAAGATTCCTCAAGGGAGGAACAACCTAAGACAGGCACAGTCGCAGGGGGGCCATCAGGTGAGAATTTGGGGATCAACAGAGGTGAGGCTCAGAACCTCACCCCCCCTGCTTTGAGAGAAATCTTCTGCATCCGTGGATGTCTTGCTGCCCTTGTCTAGCCTGGATTAATACTTAGTCCATAGGCACACACCTGATCATCTGATCATCTACATTTGCCTTCTTACAGCACTAAACTATGTTTTCTACCTTTATCTTGCATCTACCTACCACTTCAGCATTTTATTAAAAATAAAAATAATAATAATAATAGGAGAAATGTGGGATCAACATATAAATCAAGTACAAAAATCAAACGAATATTCATATTTGACCTGATTGTTTATAGGTCATATTGCATGATCAAAACCGAAAGTTTCTGTGATGACTGCCCTTGTACTGTTCACCATGTAAGAATTTATTCACTCTGTAAGAATTCGTTCACCATGTAAGAACTTGTTCGTTATGCTTCAGAAGATTGGAGACTGACGAGAATTAGGCTTGAGATGGATTAATGATTGTACATTGAGCGTTGACCCCCCTATACTGAATTTTATTGTTGTTAACAACCATTTGATCAATAAATATGAGAGATGCCCTCTAAAAAAAAAAAAAAATCCTTATCTTAGAAGTGACTTTAACTGCTTTCAGAAGACCACTTAGAATTGATAAATATTCAAGCCAAGGTTAAGCACCTTGTAGTGATTTTAAATGGCATTCACATTGCTAACATAATTAATAGTGTACAGAAGTGCCAGACAAGCTGGGGTGGAAGGGACACTAAAAGACTGACTTTTGGTCATAGGGCATTTGACCAGAATAAAATAACAAGAGGAAAAAGAATCATCATTTCTATCTTTTTTCTGTGCGGAGAAGGCATTCCACCTCTCCCTGGAGACTCAAAAGTTGCCACTGCCTTCTTGTTGCTTAAATTCTCTACAATTATGTTTACCCACCTAGTGTCCAGAAAGGTCTCCAAATTGTCTTTTCATCTCTTTTCCCTTTATGTTAACATTATTTCTGTTTCCTTGGTGTAGATTATATGTATCTGTAAGGATTTAGGAAGAAAATAATCTGACTCAACTAATTAATAGAAAAGCTCCCTTTACCAGTCCCAATATTTGCATTTTCAAGGAGAAACTTGTTCAAATGAACCTCTAACCTCCAATTGGGTTTTCAGTTGTGTGACAAAAATTGGATGGGGCAAGTTTCTTTTCTTGTCTCTTTAAAAAATCTTTGCTATACTGATCAGCTCCCTGAAGTTATTTATACTTGGGTAGCCTCTCTATTCTAAATGTATTTCTGAACTCATGGGTTTTCCAAAAGTTCTTGTGCATGTACGTTAGAATTTTTGTGCATGGGGATTGTTGATAAGGAGTTTTGTTTTCATAACTCTTACTGAAGCAGCCCATCTCCACCAACCCTACCCTAACGTGAGCAGTCCTCTTTGATGGCGGTGAGATTAACACAAATTTCCAAGTCACATTTTCTCTATATCTCAGAGGCTTAAGAACTCTTGAATAGGGATGCATGAACAAATAATCAACATACCACAGTAAAAGTTTGCCAACCCCTAAAATTAAGAAAATGGTTTGAGAATTTTCTTTTTTTACAGAAGAAACATAAGCCACAGTATCCAAGTATAATTGCTTTGGACAACTCAATGGAAATAGATGCTAAGAGGCAAATTACAATCAAAATGGCTTAGAGATATGATCTTGAATTTTTAAATAATCTTTAATAATTGCAAAACTTTCACCATCTTCAAAGTAAAATGTGTACTTCCTTCAATCTAACTGGAACCAGTTTTGCCCCAAAAGTGGTATATAATACAAGACTACTTTAATCTCTTTAGTCCTGTATGTAGGTACTCAAAGAATTGGACATAGTTACACAGTCCTTTTCATATGATGAGGGTAAATTATATACCATCAATAGAAACTTACCAATTAAAATAATACCTTATGTTCTGTACTCTCACCTAAGTGTTTGCCAGGTCAAGTTAATCTTCAGATAAGTTTTCTTCACTCACAAGACAATTTGATAATATATGGATCCTTCTGGGAGATATGGTACTTATTTTAAAGAAATATTCACACCACCACCACCTCCAGCATATTCCAGAGATACTTTGAAAACTAATGAAGTAATCAAAGACATTACATTTCTCTCTGAATCATAGTCACCCTTTATTAGAAAGCAGTACAAAGTAAATGAGCAGACTAGGTCAGTAGGCCCTTCTAAACCTGAACTGATATTCTTCACAATTACATATGAAAGAACTAGATACTTCTATAATTAGGCTTTCATTATGTAATACGTAATTCAGACATTAGTGAACTTTAAGGGTTGTGAATTGTGAAAGTGCTATGTGCAGTACAGAAGCCATGGTCAGGAATTTCTGGCCAAGTCCTGTATAGAAAATATTCGCTGAGTTTTTAAAAATAGGGATTATAGCTTGTGACTGCTTTGTTGAAAAAGTAAGAAGTAATTTATAGAGAATATGCTTCTCTGACTATTTAGATTTATGTTACCTTTAGTTTTGTCAAAATCCAATCTTCTAGGCATAATACTTTTGACTTAAAATGGAATTGAAGATCATTGTCACTGGAACAGCAATTGAAAAGTTGACAACACAGCAGGGTAAAGTCTCTACCAAACCTCTTAAGTTCTTTGTGACTGTGGTCTTTCACATGATGGGACTCCAGTTAGAATTTTTAAAATACATAAATACTATTTCAAAGCATTCTGATTGTGAGTGCTTAATGCCATTTAATGTCATTAGATACACTACTAATCTCTTAATATGGAACAAGGGGAACAAAACTGCACTTGTAGCAGGAAGCTGTTTTATTTCTTCAACTCAAGTATGAAAGTTTTAATGCATTTAAGTCATAAAAATTATCAGGTCTTTGGGGTTAGATTGGGACATTTCTTTAGTTACTTCATCATTTCTTACTTATATGTGGGGTTTTTTATTGTTTGCTTCAATTTGTGAAAAGCAGGTTTGTTTTGATTTTCACAAGCAGGCTTCGTCTGCACAAACTGGCTTTTCTCCAAGTTTGTTTGATTTTACTGTTCTCCCTTACCTAGTTGTGGATGACCAGACTTAAGTAATGAAAAAGTCTTAAAAGGAGTGTTTCATTACCTAACCCAACTATACTAAATGCTAATTCTTATTCCTAGTTACTTATCTGTGAGGGTTATAGGTGTTAACATGTCATATACATTATTTAGAAAAAAATTAATCAATTTCTTTCCTACATCTCATTCTGGAAGATTCTGTCCAATGGAATGCAGCACAAGGTACACCTAAGAGGAGGCCCTACTTCATGGAGTATTAGAAGTTTTAAGAAAGCAGAGTCCAGCTATTACTTCTTTGTAACATAAAGTGGAATTTTTGCCGTTGCTTTTCTAAAAGTCTCTCCTTTTCTTTCTCCCACTCTCCTCCCCTCAAAAAAGAATCTTACAGCTGACTCTCCAAGAGTTAGAAGAAAACCTCTTCTCCTTTTGGAGGGAGCAGGTATTAGGTTTAGGGTTTGGCAGAGCGTTGAAGCATCCATGTAATCAGTTCTGTACAAATTATGTGTTACTTAGAAAACCGAGGGACATTCCTTACCAAGCCATGTCAATGTACTGCTGTAACTTAATAAAATTTGCCCAAGTGACAGTGTGTCTGCTGAATGGATTTTCTTACACCATCTGGTTGTCATTGTAGTTTTTTGTTGTTGCTATCATTTGAAATGTGCTGATGATCTTGTTTTTATTCCGTAGCATTGAACAGATGGGTTGATTATTCTTTTCAGATATTAATAAGGCAGCGGAAAGAAGAAATATGAATACGGCTCCATCAAGACCCAGCCCCACACGAAGGTAAAGTACCCTGAAGCAGTGAGTTACCTTGGGAGAGTTGGGCTCTGGGGAGTTAAGCCCAACTTCGTACATCAAGGGTCTTTTCTTCCCCCCAACAAATCAGAAACGCTCAAGCAAACAATAAGAACATGAACCTTGTGTGAAGGGCCTTGCTGCTTTTTTTAAACATACATCAGGAGATGCAGAGGAAGCTTTGTGTTTTCGGTGGCAAACCCAGCAAGTTCAGCTTGCAACATGAGTTGCAGGCGATTGGAAGAGGATAAACCTCTGTCTGTCCCCAGCTCACGTGTCAGTGGGAGCCTCCACAGCGGAGGAATGCCCCAGGGTCGTTGGTGTATGCCATGCTGCACAGCAGCAGGTAGCAGAGATTCGACTCTTCATTCCAAATGGCTGCCAGTCCAGATGTTAATCCAGGTTTACGGGAAGTGCTGCTTGAGAGATTGCTGCCGTGCCTGTGCTACAGATCCCCTGTTTGCTCGCATGCTTGGGTTACCTACTGAGGGAAAATAAAAAGGGCAAAAACACTCCACTTCTCAGAAGTCTCCCTTTTTCTTAGCTCTCCTGGAAATGAAAGGCATTTCCCCAGTATATTCTTTCTTCAAGTATATACAAAAGAGATAGTCCTGATGTGTACCCTCAAAATATGCATTAAATTGATTCCTTTTCTCAAAGAAGAGCCTTATTAATGTTACCATTTACACCAAAGATGAGTATATTGTATCCAAGCTGGCCCCATAGCAGCACGCAAGTGTATGCAGTATGTGCAGTTATGTGGGAATGCAAGCAGATAAACGATGTATTTAATATCTGGTGTTTCTTCATAGCCTATGGATACTTGTGGATTTTGCCTTTGCCCCGAAGTAAAAATGCCAGTTTTCCACAGTAAACTACATACATGAGCTACATACCACAGTAAACTACATTTCCTACAATGAATTGAACACTGCTGGTACAAAGAAAACTAGTCTGTACTAGTAGTTCCACAGGTCACCCAGGGATGTACTGAACTAACCGAGCACTTACACGTAACATAGAGCTGTCCTGCTTTGGGACAAGAACACCAATTTTTTGTTACCTACTTATAGGAAAAACTGCTGCTATATGTTTGGTGTATATGCCTCTACTTGAATGTGAAGCATGGGTGTTTTCTAAGCTACCAGGAATAGATGACATGTCTGCTCTGCAGAATTTTAGCAGACTCTAGGGGCCAGGTAATGGTGCTGATTCAGTTGGATTATTTGAGTGCTCTTACCTGTGCAGAGGAGTGGACTCTGACACCACAACTGCAGCTACACTGCAGCTGTCAAGTGGATGCCCTGCCATCCATGGTCTCACTGCACAAATGAGCATATATGTTGGTATTCTGTCTGTTCTCTCTAACACCATAAGGAATCCTTGCAGCTTGCAGGGATTAATTTTTGTTGATTGATTTTTGTGGGTATGTATATCCTGAAGAGCATAAAATAAATCCTGCAGAACTTCAACAGCTCCATGTAATGTCTGTCCATTATGCTGCATTTAATCATGCTGCAGATGTTGAGCAGTCCCATCTGTGTTGCTCCTCTTTGCCCCAGTAAACATGGACTACACCTGGCTAAAAGTTTGCATCTAATGGACAGAAATATGGGGCTCCCATTGGAAGCCATGGTTGCCAAATGGCTTGAAAGGAGAAATGCTGTGTATCCAGTTTCCAAGGAGCTCTAATGTATGTGCTTCTGAACTAGGTAGCTTACCAGAAGGAGTGTGCAGTTGCTAACTATAAAGACACTGACTCCACTAGTAAAACCCCTTCCCTCTCCCCCACCATCTCTGTTGTCCCAGTGATGCTTTGATCTCTGGAAAATGTTGCCTATGTGTTTCCACAGGAGACAAAAAAACAGGGCACATTGTAGAATACAGAGTAGTTCTGTTTGTGCTATGGATTGAGAATAATATCTTATGTCATCCTCCTATTAATGATACCTAACCAAATGCTTTTAACATTGCCAGTTGACCATAGGTATTCAGCAAACCTTGGCAATGTTGGGGAAATAACCAACTCCCCTGGTTGGAATCCTGTGTTCCCATTGTCATGGCATTAAATTAAAAAGATTAGTTTCATCCCAACCTGAAGTACAATTCCATCATTGCATCTATAATGGAAGAAATAGCTTTACGTTATTTTTCTTTTTTAAGTAATAGCACCCCCCCAAAAAAACATTTAAGTAACATTGGGGGAAGCCTTTAAAATGTTATCCTTACCAGATAACATAAATGTAAGCAATTGCCACTTCTTTATAAGCCTTATAAAATACCCTCTTCCTCAGAAATAAGTTCTAAAATGAAGTCGAGTCGTTTGGAATCTAAATAGGACAGTAGCTTGCTGCTTTATTTACAATCAATAGGAGAGACAGCTCAGCTAATACAGATTCCATTAAGAATCAGTCTTCCCCTTGGTGGTATGTCCCTAACTGGGTTTCTCAGCGTGTTATTTAACATGATAAAGTTTCATTCAGTCATGCTTAACAAGGTTCAGAGAAGAGGGATATTCACATTAGTAAAATCTGTTCTGAGTCCCATCTAAAGCCTGAGCAGAGAGTAGTAGTTTTTTACCTTTAAAAATAAAAATTCTAAAACCCTAAAGCCAAGCAAATTGAACATTATATTCAAAATAGAGCACTAACATTTTGATCATTACCCCTATTGTGCAGTATCTCTTAAGATACCAATAGGGCAGAAATAAAATTCAGTAAGTAGTCAAATAAATGCATTAAGTGGGTGAGTGGTTGGTGAGCCTGGAAGGGGCTAATCATTTCTCAGGGTAAACACTGGGTAGCACTCTCTTTGAGTGCAAGCTTCCAGTCAAAAGCCTTGAAGTAATTCCAAAAGTATACCAATATATTGACGACACCAAACTGCCTTCATTTGGCAATCCTAATCATTTTATGTGTCCCCCATCATAGGGAATGCATTGTTCACAGAAAAAAGCACTGTACCTCTGGCAAATATTTCCCTTGAATTGTACATTTCTTTAGGTGTTCAGTGTTGCTACTTTTAATGAAATTGTTTTTAAGCTTGCTGGCAGAACCTTTGTAACACCTTGTATTGCTGGACTTTAACCTTGAGTGTCAAAACTTTGGAGTTTTCACACACAGGATTATCACCTCTTCAAATGTCTCTGTAAGCCACAGTTCTGCTGGCATTGCTCTCTGTTCAGTAATATACCTCCCTAATGACTCCAGCTGTCAGTGTGTGATTCTGACAGTACTGGCCCAGCCAAGCACAGAACTGTGCATGAGGGATCCCTGCTCTGGATCAAGTTTTGGCCTGAATTCTCATCATTTAACCCTTGGACCACTTCGCTGGACTTCTTTGAGTATATTGTATGGTTACCATGCAGGTTGTCTAGCATTGGTGCTGGGCATTAGTCCTTAACTTCTTCAAAGACTGGACCACGATTCTGGTTGTACCTCGAGGTGTTCTCAATTTCCATCTTCCGTTCAACACAATGGCAAGCCAGGTCTTGGAGCATACTCTGTGCAGATGTGGCCTCCAAGTGAGACTCTGTATTTCCTCAACTTTCCCATATGACTGAAAGAAGAGCAAATAGAATTTAACTTGTCAACACCAGAAGCTCTGCAGAGAATTTTCCCCATGCATTTATGAAGTATGTTAGACCTGTTGCCTCTTTGGTGAAAGTCATCAGGGATTGGTTCATCAGAAGTAACCTAGCTATAGACAAGTTTCTTACATGACCCAAGATGATTTCTACCTGTCCACAGTGTGGGTGTGAGACAGCTGTAGGTCTAGGTGGTCTTCACAATTGAAGGTTCCAGCCTGTGATTACCTCTGCCCTTAATACTCAAAGAGGAACTGTCGGTTCTCAGCAAGTGCCACATCAACCAACACGGAAGCTGTATTTGTGCTTGAGCAAATCATCAGCCTGCTTCTTAGGGAGAAACATGGGCACTTAGAGAAAATTTGGATCTGTGAGGTGTGATACCTCATTGCACCCCATATCCTTCCTACCTGCACCTAATGGCAAAATTCTGCGCAAGTCTGTTGTATTTCTTTGATTTCTAACAGCATGGAGCCATTGCACAGCAGCCAGTCATTTAGGTAATGATATTTGTGCACAATACCTGTGACAGAACAAAAGTATGAAGAGCAGATGAAGGATTTTTTTCAGGAGCAAAAATAAGACTGGCCCTCCCAAGGCACATATTCCATCCAGTGAGCATAAAGGAAGAAAGAAGATGCTGACAAGAGGACAGAGGCCTTCCTCCCTGACCTTCTGTGCAGCCAAAGCCAAAGAACACAGTCTTGGGCTTGAGATTTCAGTCTCTGACCGCAGACAAGCTCAAAGTCCATCACAGTCTTCCAAGATGATCATCTATCAGTTCTTACTCTGTACCCTCACAAATGCCTAGAGCTCTAAACACCCCTTTTGTCCCCAGGAAAAGGAGCAGTTCTAACCAGAAGTACATCACTTGCCGTCTGAGCCATGGCTTTTCCCTTCACCCATCCTTCCCTTACTTCTCAGTTGTTTCCAAATAATATGACTATATTTCTCTCAAGGCAAAGAGCATTTGGCTTTATTTTCCCCCTGCTGAATAGATGAGGAATTTATAACAGAATTTTAAGTGTTTGTCACCTCCCGTCAGTTTGTGGACTCCAGTGCTGAAATTTGTTGTTTGTTTTTAGCTTCTAGTGACCTAGAACATGAGGGTACACTGCAATTTGGTGTCCAGTTAAATGCCTCTGGTGCCATGGGATGATACTGTGAACCTTATTATGCTCCAGAAACTTGCTTCTAATCCACTTGTTATCTGAGGTCAGGCGTCTCATTCAGTAGGCTTCCTCCTTATGGCATTCTAAATCCTGCACACTGTACCCCCCTTTCGTTAAGCTGGTTCTTGTTTTGAGAAAGATATTGAGGCCAGCAGCAGGAGTTACTTTGTTCTGGGTAGTTCTTTGTTTAGGTCCTAAAGTGACCCAAAGGGTTTTTTGTTTTGTTTTTGCCTCCAGAAAGAGCAGCAGTCTGCCATACTGCTCATCTTTTGGAGAAAGAAAAATAGCTTTGCCTTTTCGCTTCGCAGAATTATCTTCTCTGTCCCTACTGCCACCACTCCCTTAGTTATTTTCCCCCCTGTGATTATCATCTCTTCTACATTTTTACCCAGAAGGCAGTTGAGGGGGGAATTAGTTTTGTTGCACATGCATTTTAAATTTGTTGAGAAAAGAGAGGGAAAGGGAGGGCTTACCTTCTCATACTAGAAGCATGAACCCAGACTTTGGGAGTCTAGGGTTATTGTCAACCTCCAGGGATGGACTCCGACAGGTAAGTTGTGTATTTCATGGATTCAGAAGAATGAGAACCAATGTGACATATATAATTATCCTAAGGCTGTGAATAAGGTGCTGTGACATGGTGTTCTTACCTGTATTACCACCTCCGTTTCCACCAGCCCAAGGCCTTGTGTGAGGTCTGTGGTCTGTCAGATTCATGATCTCTCTTAGCCCTGATTGCCAAGAACACTTGAAAACTGATTCCACCTTTAATGACTACTTCTAACTCCTCCCCAAGGCAGGCTTATCTGCTGATATTAATCCAAAACTACTTTACAGTTGTCTCTTCCCATTGAATCCTGAGTGTTTGCCCACATTATATAGATCAGATGCTACACATGTTAGGAGAATTATAAGACATAATAAGAAAAATCAAAGTAATAACGTTGGGTAGTCTGCACTATTGTAATAGGAAAAATGTTTAGCTGTCCTCATTTAAACTCTCTGGTCTCCCCTTATGTTTGTTCCCACAAATCAGGAGTACTTGTGAGCCTTAAAATATGGAGTTTTTATAGAAGCAGAATTTGGCATTTAAATTGTTTCTTCTGTGCCCATGTGGATGAAGTGAAAGGTTTTCTACCAAGCTGCATCGTGATGAGTGCCTAATATGTGTAGTCATTATAGGTGATAAAAGTATAAATAAAAAATGGTGCTTGCTCTTAAGAGGCTTACAGTTTAGTCGAGTGATTCAGTTCATTAAATAATGAACTCTGTGCTGTGTCCTAGGGTCCAAAGCCTTCAAGAAAGCTTTCTATTAAGTAGGGAAGCCATTAAACAAATAATTACAGAACAGTATGGTGAGGTAATAGAAAAATAAACATAAGCAAGATTCGTTTAGCATATTCATGGAGCATCTGCTGTATTGCCAGACATTATAAACCTATGGAGTGGATTTGTAGGAGGGAGTCAAATTGATAGTCCTTATCCTCATGGATTTGCAGTCTAGTAAGGCAAACAGACATTAAACAAGTAAATAGATATGTCAAATTGTGACAAATGACAAGGAAAAACAAAGTGCTGTTAGAAAATGTGGCCAGGATATAGGAGTAGAAGATAAACTTTTAAACTGACAGAATCCAGGAGTAAAAAATACATGGACATATAGAAAATGAGCACGTATCCATTCCTATCCATTCCTGCTGTTCGAGTTAAAGGCATTAGGAAAAACCTGACTAGTTACCGAAAGGCCAGAGTGGCAAGAGCAGTGAACTAGAGCGAGGGTGGTAAGAGGTTGGAGAAAACAGGAACCAAGACTATGCAGGCCCTTACTCGCCTTACTGCAGATTTTGGGTTGAATTCTAAATACTGTGGGAAACCAGTGAAGAGTTTTACATATTTAAAAGATTAATCTGGAGAAAGAAAAGAGGCAAAAGCAGAAACAAACTACTTTAGAAAGCCCTTGCTGTTGTTTTTAAGGAGAGAATTTTGGGTTGGCCTTCATTGGTAGCAGTGGAGGTAAAGAAAGATGGGCAGAATAACAATTTCAAAGGAAGAATGAAAATTGGGGAATGTGATTGGAGGGCTGGGTGGGGCTTTAAGTAAAGGATGACATCCAGTTTCCTGGTTTGAGCAACTGAGTAGGTGAATGTGCCGTTTATTAAGATGGAAAGGACTGGAGGAGGAGCGTGTTTGTTGGGGAAGATCAAGAGTTCAGGGCAGGTTTTCTGGAGGAGGTAATTCTTAAAGTGGGTCAAACAAGAAGATACTGTTTAAAAAAAAAATCAGATCAAGATGAGTAATAGAAATGGCACTTATTAGTGCTCTAAGTTGAGCAAGAGGAGAAACCAGCAATTACTAGGAAGATTAATGAAGATTTCTTAGAAGGTATGGGACATGAACTTGCCTGTGAGGATCTCTTGGGTGATAACTTGGATTACTGCAGGGGAAGTATTCCAAATTGAAAAAACATATGTACAGGAATACTGAGACAAATATGTCATGTGAGTTAAGTTATAAGAACAACTTGAGTAGAACTGAGGAGACTGAATTAGGAAATCGGGGAGAGACTAGTTGGAAAAGGGCCAGATTTGTTAAGAAGGGGTGTCCATAGTGTGATAGTCCAGCTGCAGCTAGTAATAAGTGGAAATTTGGATGGTTAATTTGGTATTTATGTTTTGAATGAATTGAAATCTGGAAGATTGGGTTTTGTTTTTTGTTTTTTTTTTATCTTGGTGCCAGTGTAGAAATAAGGATTTAGATTGAATTTATGAATCCAGTGGGAATGAAAGGGGAAAACAAGCAGGATTCAGATAACTTAATGGGGAAAAGCAAGGAAGAATCAGTTAACTTTTTGAGAACTTAAACCTTGGTAATTAGACTATTTTGACAGAAGTGAAAAGGTTGGTAATGGGACTGAGTAGGTTTAGTAAATTATAATTTTAGATATGTTAAGGTTGAGTTTCCAGAGGAGTGGAATATCTCATGAAGAATATTGAATCAGAGCAGGCCACACAAATCTGTGACTTCAAACACTGTTTTTTTGTTTGTTTTAAGAATTTGGTTAAAATAGCAACCAGGTTCCACATAAACCTCAGATTGAAAGGGACCACTACTCAATAAGTACATTGAGAAGGACAGAGAGACTGAGTGTTCTTATACTTCACTGTATCATATTGTATTTTCTTCCCCTTAATTTGACTATCCTCCTAGATACTTTAAATGAAGTTTTCTGTACTTAAAGGACAGGTCCTTTGTTCATTGTACTTTTTATGAGATTGTGCCACTTGCTTTTCTTTTTTTCTCTCATGTCTTACCCCTTACTGTGTCCCTGCAACTTTTTATTTCTTTTAAAGTCTGGTGGAAGAAACTAGGTTCTAGGGGAAAGGCACCTTCAATTTGAAAAAGCCTGTTGAGATTGAGGTGATAGTTTGGCATGCAAAAGGAACACTGAATTACACCCTGAACCCTGATAAATATTATGACCTCAGTCAAAACCTTTGGCTTTGTGTCATACATTCTTCTTTTGATGTTCTGATCTTTTGAGTCTGTGTTTGTTGACCAGATGAGTGACTGTCCTTAAAATTTTAATCATGTTCTCACTGGCTACCATGTTTTAGAGAAAAATGCTTGGCAGGTGGGGGCTTCCTTCAATAAAGAGCTGAAGGGTTGGCTGCCTTCAATTTCCTTGTCTTAGCATCTTCTTGCTATCTCCCACAGAGATCCATATGGCTTTGGAGACAATCGAGATACAAGACGTGATCGGTCCCCAATTCGAGGAAGTCCAAGGAGAGAGTCCAGGGATGGCAGGGATGGCAGAAATGGCCGGGATGCCCGGGATGCCCGGGATAGCAGAGACAGGCGAGACTCCCGAGACTTGCGAGACCACAGAGACAGCAGAGACATTCGGGACCACAGAGACAGCCGAAGTATGCGTGATGCTCGGGACATGAGGGATCTTAGAGACTTTCGTGATCTAAGAGACTCTAGAGATTTTCGAGATCACCGGGACCCCATGTATGACAGATACAGAGATATGAGGGATTCCCGAGATCCCATGTACAGGTATATATAGCCATTCTGCTTGTTTTGTTTTGTTTTTGTTTAAGTCTTTTATGTGTGTGCTGCTGAACTAATTGAAAGCTCTGAAAGGGCAGAGAGTTACCAACCTTAAATTTTCAGTGTCAAGTGGTAGATGTGCTGTACAATAAATTTTTGCTGAATGTTAATTTTTGATGAGTTATGGTTAGTGAATGAGTCTGGATCTCTCCCTGTGGTCTTTGAAAGGCAACACTGCAAATGAAAAAAAGTGCTAGTTATTTTGGCAGTGCAAAAGCACAGGGAAGGTACACAAGTGTCCAATAAATATGTGAAAAGATGCTTGACATCATTAGTCATCAGGGAAATGCAAATGAAAGCCAAGATGACATACCACTTCATACCTTCTATGATGGCTATAATAATCTATTTTTTTTTAAAGGTAAAAAGTGTTGGCAAGGTGTGGAGTTAATTCGAACTTTCATTCATTGCTGATGGGAATGTAAAATGGCGTAGCTGCTATGGAAAAGTTTGATAGTTCCTCAAAAAGTAAAATATAGTAAAAATTATTAATACCCATCAATTCCACTCCTTAGTATATACCCCAAATATTGAAATGGAGGGACTCAAATATTTATCCATGAATATGCATAGCAACACAGTTCGTAATAGCCAAAAGTTGACACATGTATTGATGGACAATACATGAATGGATTAAAAATGTGATGTATATGTACAACAATATCATTCAGCCATAAAAAGAAAGGTAGTTCTGACTCCTGCTACAACATTGGTGGACCTTGAAGATATGCTAAGTGAAATAAGCCAGACAGACACAAAAGACAAACTGTACGGTTCCACTTATATGAAGTATCTAGAAAAGGTAAATTCATAGATACAAAAGGTAGATTGGAGGTTACAAAAGTAAGTTTTAAAAAAGTATATTGGGTTTATGGATGAAGAGTTACTGTTGGATGGATACAGAGTTTCTGTTCTGGGTGATGAGAAATTTTTTTTCTGTATATATTTTTTAACCAGTTTTTTCAAAGTACATGGAAGAGGGATGGGAGAGGACATAGACTGGTTTCTCAAACTAATTTAGTAATTGCTGCCAGCTATTTTATGTTTACTTTATGCCAAGGACTGTGCTGAGAACTTCTATACATCCTCCCAGTCATTTTGCAAAGCAGGTTAACTCAGTGGCAGCCTCATAACTGTTAAGCAGTGAGTGAGTCCCAGATACAAACCTTATTTGTCTAATCCCAGAGTCCTGTGCCTTACTGTGCTTCCTCATAGGGGCCTAGGTCTTGAAGAATTTTCTTCACCTGATTTTCATAGGATAGGACAGTTTTAACTTTGTGTGAATTTCTTTAACTTTTTAGAAGAGAAAGCTCTTATGACCGATACCTGCGAATGGATGACTATTGCAGGAGAAAAGATGACTCTTACTTTGACCGTTACAGAGAGAGCTTTGATGGACGCGGCCCTCCAGGCCCAGAAAGTCAGTCTCGTGCAAAAGGTAAAATAGCAGAAACAGTTTACTCCTGTTGCTGGTAGAACACTTTACAAAAGAAAAAGGAAACTAATAACCAACTGAAAGGGGGCTAATGACTTGGCTAAGCAATTCACAAAAAGAATACAAATAGCTTATTAATATGTAGAGAGCATCCAGTTCGAAAATAATTTTTAAAATGCATCTTAGTACCATCATCTGGTTTAGTTCTCTAATATGAAGAAATAAATATAAAATTCTAGCAATAAGAAGTGATCAAAAGATTAGAGCCGAAGAGGTTAAGTTCTAGTTGCATTATCAATTCAACACGTGGAATTTCTTGTTTTATTTATAATTTTCACCTAAAAGCATCTCTTTTTTTAGGTAGAGATAAACATGTTTTTTTTTAAAGCCTGATTTTTCTCAATACATCTTTAAGTTTTTTAGATTATTTCATACCCAGTCAAGTTTAGAACCTCATTTTTAATTTAATTCCTAATAAAACTACTGCCTGATTTTTTTTTCCCAGAACAAATTATAAGTATCTATCAATAAGGGTCTTAAATAGTTGTCCCAAAAATGTAAATTAGAATAATAATGAGATACCATCTTTTATCTCTCAAGTTGGCAGAAATTTTTAAAGATAATACCCAATGTTGACTAAGATTTGGAGGAATAGCAGTAGGTGATCCACCCCTGCAGAGGGATAAGATAGTGAAGCTTTTCTAGAGAGCAGGTTGGCAGTCTGCATCAGAGGAAGCATTAAAATGACCAGGCCCTTCAATCCAACCAATCCATTTCAGTGAATTTATAATAGTGCAAAATAATAATACAAGTTACTTTTTAGGAGGTAATCTAGAGGATTAATTCAGAGAATGTGTGTGTGTGTGTTACAGCCTTTGCCTACAAGTAGTTCAGGGTTCAAAATAAGGCCTGTGAGGTTTTTTTTTTATTAAAGTATCATTGATATACAACCTTATGAAGGTTTCCCATGAACAACATTGTGGTTTCAGCATTCACCCGTATTATCAAGTCCTCACCCTGCCCATTGCAGTCACTGTCCATCAGTGTAGTAAGATGCTATAGTCTTTACTTGTCTTCTACATGCTGTACTGCCTTCCTCATGACCTACTTGTATGTGAATGCTATTTATAGTGACCCTTAATCCCCTTTACCTGTGAGTTATTTTTATAGAAAAGCACAGTTCATATTTCACTCTCCCTGGTTGTATTTTGCAGAACGGTTGAAACGCGAAGAACGACGTAGAGAAGAGCTTTATCGTCAATATTTTGACGAAATCCAGAGACGCTTTGATACTGAGAGGCCTGTTGATTGTTCTGTGATTGTGGTCAACAAGCAGACTAAGTAAGGACCCTTTGGAGATTTCTCCTGAGTGAGGAGAAGGGTTCAGAAGAGAAATTCAGGCTCTCTGTGACAGCCATATCCCCTGGACTTGGGCATTGCTCTGCTATCTTAAGCCAGAGTTCTGTCAGTTGTAGGTGACAGAAAACCCACCGCAAACTGGTTTGGTCTCAAAGGGAAATTTTTAGTTTGCTTGACTTGGGAAGTTCAGGCTTGGCCACATCCAGGGTCATTAATTTTTAGTTTGCACAAGGCTTGGCAGGAGCTATGTTCCCCTTCCCTAGGTGTTAGTAAATAACTTCAACTATTTTCTAGCAGTTTGGGGTTAAAGAGCTAATTTCAAGGCAAAGACTAGGGAAATAGGTGTTGAGACACCAAGCAGCAGGCAGAATTCACAAGCTCTGGGCTTAGAGATAGACACTACTTTAACTGTAGATAGCTTTTTTGGGGTTTTTTTGACACATAATAGCATTTTCTGAGCACCTACTCTGCACTACCTCATGCTAGGTGCTCTGCTTAAATTAGTTGTAATCTTCACAGTAGTCATGTTACATATGAATTGAGTTAGCAGATTTTTTTGTAAATATGGCAGATGCTAGGTACTGGGGCTAGAATGGTAAGCAAACATACATAGCACCTTTCTCTTGTGGCTTTTACACCCTAGTTGGACAGGTGACAAAAAATAAATGTACTGGTGATTAGTCCTGTGAGAAGAAATATATCAGGGATCTAATGTAGATTGTAGAGAAGGTCAAAGAAATGACATACAAACTGAGCCATTTTATTTTTGTTTTACTGGTTAAGAAACAGGTTTGTAAGAGGTGAAGGGATTTGCCTAAATCCTCACAACTTTGCAAGTAAATGGTAGGGATGGGATCTAAACTTATCTTTTCTAGCATTTTTTTCTCAAGGAAAGCTGCATATGTGTATGTGCCGTTAAGTCTTATAGGCAGCAGTATGGAATTAAGGAAGGATTCTTGGGCTAGAGAAGCAAGAGAAGGACCTGGGTAGTAAACAGTGTGCAACTAGCAACTTAGTATGTGACCATTGTGAGCCAGTATAAAGGGAAGGGATTGGTCTGGATCCTTGGAGCCTGAAGAAGGCACTAGGGAGACTTTTGGTGGGCTAGGATTTGAACTCTCCATAGAAGTATGCAGCTGACTAGAGGAGAAACATTGTGCACATTGGGAGTTGGTCAGGGAGTGCTCACCTGGATCCTATTTGTTTCTACAGAGATTATGCTGAATCTGTGGGACGGAAGGTACGAGACCTAGGCATGGTCGTGGACTTGATCTTCCTCAACACAGAGGTGTCACTTTCACAAGCCTTGGAAGATGTTAGCAGAGGAGGGTCTCCTTTTGCTATTGTTATCACCCAGCAACACCAGATTCACCGTTCCTGTACAGTCAACATAATGTTTGGAACCCCACAAGGTATGGAGGGTCAAGTGGATCAGAATTCCAGAGGTAGTTACTAGTCCTAGTCCATTAATTCTTTTATGCCTTACTCAGAAGAAGCAGGTTTGGGGCAAATGACTCATATATTTCAGCTCAAATATGGCAAGTTCTTCTCTAAGTGTACTGGAGGGACTGGATAGTTGTTACTTTGTCTGGTATTCTTGCAGTAGATACAGTCCGGACTTGCTATATATAACACATTATATTTAGCCCTTAGGTGTATGCAGTGGTATGCTGGCAAATGTTTAACAGCCAGTTCTGGGGAGGGGTGCAGTTTATAGCATTTACTCATTTCCATGGTATAAATGCTTTCACCATGTCCTCTTTCAAGCCACCAACAGGAAGTCACCTCAGGGAGAGTTGGGAGGTGATGCACACAGTTGGCTCTCCCCAGGCAGAGTGCCAGCACACTTCTGGCACAAAATGCACTGAGTGCGATAGAGTCCTGGCTCTCACCAGACTTTCTAATGAGGGACAGAATATAACAGGCAATTAGGATACTGTTGGTAAGTGAGCTACAGAAGTGGGCAGAGGGGCTGTGAGAACAGGGAGGAGGCCCTGATCTCCTATAGGCCCAGGATAGGTTCCTTGATGTGCTTTCCTGAAGTGGCTTTTAGTACTTTGTGTCCAGAATGTTGAGACTCAGCCAACTGATGCCCTGCTCTTTCCTCTCAAACATAGACTTTTCTCTTTTCCCACTGTACTCAGGACCTCATTTGCCTGACCAGTTATACCCGTAACCATAAGATGTATCATGTGCTCCAGTGGATCATTTGTTTCTGAGGAATAGTCCTCAAGATGCATGAGGACTTTTATATAAAGTTCTGAGAAGGTTTCTGAGCACCCTACAATCAGGTTGCCTGAGTGTGAGGAGAGGAGGTTATCTGATCTTAATCCATGACCTTTGAACTGATGAAAAAAACAGTAGGCCAGCTCTGTCCTGGGGAGCACAGTGGAGAGCCAGGCTTTACAGAGGGCTTTTGGATCCCTGTGATCTGCCTCCCACGGTTATTCCCCACGTGGTCCTTGTGAATCTGTGGGAGACTGTCATGTTTCTTTGGTTTCTTACAAGTCTGTGATCCAGGAAGTCCCCCAAAGAACCAGCTCCATGCAAAGGTATGTGCTCCCCGTCTCAAGGCTTTTTGTCACTGAAATATTTTTTTCCTGGTTTGAGATTAGGAAAGGCTTGGTAGAGTCCAGCAGGTGGGCGCTTGAGTCTGACATGGGAGAAAATAACTCATGTCATCCCTCCTGCAGAGCATCGCAACATGCCCCAGGCAGATGCCATGGTGCTGGTGGCCAGAAATTATGAACGCTACAAGAACGAGTGCCGAGAGAAGGAGCGTGAGGAGATTGCCAGACAGGCAGCCAAGATGGCTGATGAAGCCATCCTACAGGAAAGAGAGCGAGGAGGACCCGAGGAAGGAGTGCGTGGGGGGCACCCTCCAGCCATCCAAAGCCTCATCAACCTGCTGGCAGACAACAGGTACCTCACTGCTGAAGAGACGGACAAGATCATCAACTACCTGCGAGAGCGGAAGGAGCGGCTTATGAGGAGCAGCACCGACTCTCTGCCTGGTGAGCTACGTGGCAGGGCCGAGGTGAAGTTCTGACTCTGCATTTCTCTACTCCCCAGGCTCTGTTGGGAGGGTCACAGGCCCAGGGCTCTTTGGGGTGGGTAAGGGAAATGAGCCCATCCTTGAGTTCTCCCATGGGGCAGCCAGACTGACAAAATGATAACTTAGGATTTGGGTATTGCCTTCTGATCCCTGTTAGTGTGGTGGTGGGTGGGCTGGCATTGCTGGCTCCCTGGTAATCAAGGTGGATGGCCCTTTTTTTTTAAGTAGTTCTCTGGGAGAACTAGACTATTTTCTGGAGACAGCGTATACCGTGAAGTGACCCCTTTGGGAAAATGATGTTACAGTCTTATGTACTGTGTGATTGATGTGAACAGTGATTATTCTTCCCTGGGCTTCTGTCCACGGGGGTACTTTGAACCAGATACCTCCTCCTCCTGTCTTGTAGGCCCGATTCCCCGTCAACCACTCGGGGCGACCTCGGGTGCCTCGGTGAAGACACAGCCAAGCTCCCAACCGCCCCAGAGCGGCCAAATACTCCCCTCTGCTACACCCACTTCAGCTGCACCCCCCACATCCCAGCAAGAGCTTCAGGCCAAAATCCTCAGCCTCTTCAATAGTGGCACACTTGTGGCCAATAGCAGCTCTGCAGCCCCCTCAGTCGCTGCCAGAAACACGCAGAAGCAGAATTTTTCCACAGCAGCGAACAGCCAACCTCAGCAAAGATCACAGGCCTCTGGCAATCAGCCTCCAAACATTTTGGGACAGGCGGGATCTGCTCGGAATATGGGCCCCAGGCCTGGGGCTCCTTCCCAAAGGCTCTTTGGCCAACCTTCCAGTCGCCTGGCACCTGCCAGCAACGTGGCTAGCCAGAGGGCTGTGTCTTCCACAGGTATCAACTTTGATAATCCAAGTGTACAGAAGGCTCTGGACACCCTCATCCAGAGTGGCCCTGCTCTCTCCCACCTGGTTAGTCAGACCACAGCACAGGTGGGGTGGCCCCAGGCACCCCTGGGATCTTACCAGAGGCATTACTGAGGCTAAATCTCTCAACTGCCCCCAGTTCCCTCATCCCCTGGCCTCATCCCACCTGTTGCATTCTAAATAGAATTACTTGGAGGATGTTCTGCGCCTGCCCAGGTCGACATTGAATGTCGTGTTTCTACCACCTGCTCTCTTCTGCTGAAGGCTGTGTTGCATATTCCTTCCAGAGTCAGAGTTTATACTGTATTTGGGGGTGTATCTTTTTGTTTTTGTTTCAGTTTGGGGTTTTTTTTGGTAGAAAATAAATATCCCTGGGGTCATGGGGGCAGTATAGGTATCTGCGCTCAGTTTATATTTCTTGGGTTTCTCTGGCCTCTCCATCATCTGGACTGTGGGGGTTGGGGAGAAGAATCAGCAGCGAAGCCCCAGCTGGCTGAGTTTGGAATGTCATATTCATGGTAATAGCCACTCTGTGTTTGTTCATGTTGAATCTGCCAAGGCTTCCCAGCCTTGCACAGGCTGACAAGAACTTGAGTTCCTGACTGCAGCTCCCACCTAGGGTTCAGAGGCAGACTGGGCTTGGCAGGTGTGGTGTCGTCATGCCCTCTCCTACATGTACACAGTCTGCTGGAGCTTCATCAGCTACTCTGGAGTTGCTGGCTGGCCGTGGCAGCCACAGCAGCAGGCATTTTTCTACCTGACCCAGGGTTGTTGTTTTGGGGTTTTTCTTTTTTGTTCATCTCGTTAGAGGATCTCCAATGGACTGAACAGTTACAGTCACCAGCAGTTTAACACAAACTGTGAATCTGGGCCCCAACCACTCTTACCCCATTAACATTTCTGTCAGCCTGTCCCTCTCCAATCATTTCATGGAGTCAGTTCTAAGAAGGCAACTCTAGACTCTGGCAGTGAACACCAATTTTTCAGTGATTGTTTTGAGCTTTTGGCTCAAAACTCAGGCTCTTTATTTTCATCTGGACTCTTGTTCTGTATTCCAAGCAGCAGAAGGTAGGGACCATTTTGATGTCAGACTTCTGGTAGCTGGACATGTACCTGATACAGGTGGTGGTTCATAACTTTTGAGCCAGAGTGAAATTACTGGAGGGAGGACTTGTGGCTGCTGCTCTAAATGGAGCCAAAGGAAGCTGCCCTCCCCCTAGGGATGGTGCTCATTAGAGCCCTGTGGATCACAGTCTCAAGGGGCCCCTGGCATGGACAAGGGCGAGCAATGACTTCAGCTCAGCCCCTACCAGTGGCTAAGCAAACAATGGTTTCAAAAACTCAAGGTCTCCAGATGGCAGCATTTCACGTTCTGACCTGTTTGTGTTATATAGTGTTTTTTTTCTCTTTGGAACTCTTGTGTTGTTAATAAGATGAGATGATTACTTTTTAATTAAAATGAAAAAATAAAAGCCTGCGTTGTCTTCTTTTGGAGTGTGGAAGCCCTCTTTGGGGGGCTTTCCTTCCCAGGGTGGAAAGGTGAGGTCTCTGATGGAACAATGACAGGTTTTCAGTCTGCCCCCTGTTGCCCTTAACAGTTGCCCTGTGGTCCGGCCTAAAACCATCTTTAACCCTAGCTTCTCTCATGCACCTCACCTAGTTAGAGGCTTTAGTAACAGTTGAGAGCAAAAGCCTGCTGGCTAATTTGGATGCAGTGTTAAACATCCTTGTTCGTGGTCGACTTCCAGTGTCAGCAGGCTGGAAAACAGGACCCTGAGGGGGTCATTTCTGTCCAGTGGCCAATGAAGTAGGGCACACAGTCCTGTTTTGATTTCATCTCAGTTGCCACCTTGTTTTGCCCATTATGCACAGAGTTCGCAGATCCAGAGAGCCACAGAAGCTGCAGGAGCCTTAGAGAGAGCATGTAATCGCCACCCCCTTGAGAAACCATGGGGTTAGTATGGTGAGTGACTGGCGTAAGACCGCCAGAGGGTTAAAGACCAGAATGCTAGCAGTGCTGAGCCTGACCTAGCAAGTGTTCAGTATCTCACAGGAGATGATGTTAGCGCAGTGTGCTGTCTCTAAGTCCCAGCTGTTCTTTGTCCCTGTAGGACAGGGCCCCAGAACTGTCAGTACACATACTGGGCAACCAGACCTAGAAGATAAGCCCATCCTTGTCAGTGAAGGTCAGTGTTTTAGATTAAAAAGAATCCAGGGTCCTCCTGTAGAGCCACCTGGAGTACCCCTCTTGCCGTCTACTCAGTCTTCCCCTTCAACTGTCCAAACAGCATCTCTCAGGCTGTGAAGGGTATAATAAAATTATTTTTATTGCATTTTGTGCAGACGGGAGTCTAAAAAATTAATACAGTAAAAGCTGTAAAGCATTAAATGGGAGCATTCAACAATTAAGGAAAGAACCAACCCTCTCCTTTTCATATTGGCACAAAGAACACAAGATTAATACTGAGGCAGAATGCAGAATACTGAAAATTAAAGGCAGGCCTAATAATAATAAATACTCTTGATTTGGTTTGCAACCTTTCCTATTTACAAGGATTTTCAACTTCATTGCATTGCCCTGCACATAGATAGTCTAAAACAAAAGCAACACTAGCTATCACTACAAGGCTATTGAAATATTGCACTTAGAATAAAAGTCACTTGAATGGACATGAAACATCTAGCTACAATGATTATAAAGATAATTTGATGAATGACTTGTGATGACATTCATAACAAATATTGCACATGTAGCACAGAAAATGGGTTTTTGTTGTGGGATGTTTCTTTTCATCAATGGAAACTGCTCTTGCCAACCAGATAGTCTGGGCCCAGATAATGCAACTCTGGTTCCCTAATTGGGTGTTGATAAAGCCACCTTCCTCTTCTTCCCAGCTCACCACTTGAGGCCAAGAATGCTTAGGCCCCCAGAACGCTAGACCCAGCTGTAGTTCTCAGAGGGAGGTCTTTTGAAATGACTCATATATTTCAGCTCAAATATGGCAAGTTCTTCTCTAAGTGTACTGGAGGGACTGGATAGTTGTTACTTTGTCTGGTATTCTTGCAGTAGATACAGTCCGGACTTGCTATATATAACACATTATATTTAGCCCTTAGGTGTATGCAGTGGTATGCTGGCAAATGTTTAACAGCCAGTTCTGGGGAGGGGTGCAGTTTATAGCATTTACTCATTTCCATGGTATAAATGCTTTCACCATGTCCTCTTTCAAGCCACCAACAGGAAGTCACCTCAGGGAGAGTTGGGAGGTGATGCACACAGTTGGCTCTCCCCAGGCAGAGTGCCAGCACACTTCTGGCACAAAATGCACTGAGTGCGATAGAGTCCTGGCTCTCACCAGACTTTCTAATGAGGGACAGAATATAACAGGCAATTAGGATACTGTTGGTAAGTGAGCTACAGAAGTGGGCAGAGGGGCTGTGAGAACAGGGAGGAGGCCCTGATCTCCTATAGGCCCAGGATAGGTTCCTTGATGTGCTTTCCTGAAGTGGCTTTTAGTACTTTGTGTCCAGAATGTTGAGACTCAGCCAACTGATGCCCTGCTCTTTCCTCTCAAACATAGACTTTTCTCTTTTCCCACTGTACTCAGGACCTCATTTGCCTGACCAGTTATACCCGTAACCATAAGATGTATCATGTGCTCCAGTGGATCATTTGTTTCTGAGGAATAGTCCTCAAGATGCATGAGGACTTTTATATAAAGTTCTGAGAAGGTTTCTGAGCACCCTACAATCAGGTTGCCTGAGTGTGAGGAGAGGAGGTTATCTGATCTTAATCCATGACCTTTGAACTGATGAAAAAAACAGTAGGCCAGCTCTGTCCTGGGGAGCACAGTGGAGAGCCAGGCTTTACAGAGGGCTTTTGGATCCCTGTGATCTGCCTCCCACGGTTATTCCCCACGTGGTCCTTGTGAATCTGTGGGAGACTGTCATGTTTCTTTGGTTTCTTACAAGTCTGTGATCCAGGAAGTCCCCCAAAGAACCAGCTCCATGCAAAGGTATGTGCTCCCCGTCTCAAGGCTTTTTGTCACTGAAATATTTTTTTCCTGGTTTGAGATTAGGAAAGGCTTGGTAGAGTCCAGCAGGTGGGCGCTTGAGTCTGACATGGGAGAAAATAACTCATGTCATCCCTCCTGCAGAGCATCGCAACATGCCCCAGGCAGATGCCATGGTGCTGGTGGCCAGAAATTATGAACGCTACAAGAACGAGTGCCGAGAGAAGGAGCGTGAGGAGATTGCCAGACAGGCAGCCAAGATGGCTGATGAAGCCATCCTACAGGAAAGAGAGCGAGGAGGACCCGAGGAAGGAGTGCGTGGGGGGCACCCTCCAGCCATCCAAAGCCTCATCAACCTGCTGGCAGACAACAGGTACCTCACTGCTGAAGAGACGGACAAGATCATCAACTACCTGCGAGAGCGGAAGGAGCGGCTTATGAGGAGCAGCACCGACTCTCTGCCTGGTGAGCTACGTGGCAGGGCCGAGGTGAAGTTCTGACTCTGCATTTCTCTACTCCCCAGGCTCTGTTGGGAGGGTCACAGGCCCAGGGCTCTTTGGGGTGGGTAAGGGAAATGAGCCCATCCTTGAGTTCTCCCATGGGGCAGCCAGACTGACAAAATGATAACTTAGGATTTGGGTATTGCCTTCTGATCCCTGTTAGTGTGGTGGTGGGTGGGCTGGCATTGCTGGCTCCCTGGTAATCAAGGTGGATGGCCCTTTTTTTTTAAGTAGTTCTCTGGGAGAACTAGACTATTTTCTGGAGACAGCGTATACCGTGAAGTGACCCCTTTGGGAAAATGATGTTACAGTCTTATGTACTGTGTGATTGATGTGAACAGTGATTATTCTTCCCTGGGCTTCTGTCCACGGGGGTACTTTGAACCAGATACCTCCTCCTCCTGTCTTGTAGGCCCGATTCCCCGTCAACCACTCGGGGCGACCTCGGGTGCCTCGGTGAAGACACAGCCAAGCTCCCAACCGCCCCAGAGCGGCCAAATACTCCCCTCTGCTACACCCACTTCAGCTGCACCCCCCACATCCCAGCAAGAGCTTCAGGCCAAAATCCTCAGCCTCTTCAATAGTGGCACACTTGTGGCCAATAGCAGCTCTGCAGCCCCCTCAGTCGCTGCCAGAAACACGCAGAAGCAGAATTTTTCCACAGCAGCGAACAGCCAACCTCAGCAAAGATCACAGGCCTCTGGCAATCAGCCTCCAAACATTTTGGGACAGGCGGGATCTGCTCGGAATATGGGCCCCAGGCCTGGGGCTCCTTCCCAAAGGCTCTTTGGCCAACCTTCCAGTCGCCTGGCACCTGCCAGCAACGTGGCTAGCCAGAGGGCTGTGTCTTCCACAGGTATCAACTTTGATAATCCAAGTGTACAGAAGGCTCTGGACACCCTCATCCAGAGTGGCCCTGCTCTCTCCCACCTGGTTAGTCAGACCACAGCACAGGTGGGGTGGCCCCAGGCACCCCTGGGATCTTACCAGAGGCATTACTGAGGCTAAATCTCTCAACTGCCCCCAGTTCCCTCATCCCCTGGCCTCATCCCACCTGTTGCATTCTAAATAGAATTACTTGGAGGATGTTCTGCGCCTGCCCAGGTCGACATTGAATGTCGTGTTTCTACCACCTGCTCTCTTCTGCTGAAGGCTGTGTTGCATATTCCTTCCAGAGTCAGAGTTTATACTGTATTTGGGGGTGTATCTTTTTGTTTTTGTTTCAGTTTGGGGTTTTTTTTGGTAGAAAATAAATATCCCTGGGGTCATGGGGGCAGTATAGGTATCTGCGCTCAGTTTATATTTCTTGGGTTTCTCTGGCCTCTCCATCATCTGGACTGTGGGGGTTGGGGAGAAGAATCAGCAGCGAAGCCCCAGCTGGCTGAGTTTGGAATGTCATATTCATGGTAATAGCCACTCTGTGTTTGTTCATGTTGAATCTGCCAAGGCTTCCCAGCCTTGCACAGGCTGACAAGAACTTGAGTTCCTGACTGCAGCTCCCACCTAGGGTTCAGAGGCAGACTGGGCTTGGCAGGTGTGGTGTCGTCATGCCCTCTCCTACATGTACACAGTCTGCTGGAGCTTCATCAGCTACTCTGGAGTTGCTGGCTGGCCGTGGCAGCCACAGCAGCAGGCATTTTTCTACCTGACCCAGGGTTGTTGTTTTGGGGTTTTTCTTTTTTGTTCATCTCGTTAGAGGATCTCCAATGGACTGAACAGTTACAGTCACCAGCAGTTTAACACAAACTGTGAATCTGGGCCCCAACCACTCTTACCCCATTAACATTTCTGTCAGCCTGTCCCTCTCCAATCATTTCATGGAGTCAGTTCTAAGAAGGCAACTCTAGACTCTGGCAGTGAACACCAATTTTTCAGTGATTGTTTTGAGCTTTTGGCTCAAAACTCAGGCTCTTTATTTTCATCTGGACTCTTGTTCTGTATTCCAAGCAGCAGAAGGTAGGGACCATTTTGATGTCAGACTTCTGGTAGCTGGACATGTACCTGATACAGGTGGTGGTTCATAACTTTTGAGCCAGAGTGAAATTACTGGAGGGAGGACTTGTGGCTGCTGCTCTAAATGGAGCCAAAGGAAGCTGCCCTCCCCCTAGGGATGGTGCTCATTAGAGCCCTGTGGATCACAGTCTCAAGGGGCCCCTGGCATGGACAAGGGCGAGCAATGACTTCAGCTCAGCCCCTACCAGTGGCTAAGCAAACAATGGTTTCAAAAACTCAAGGTCTCCAGATGGCAGCATTTCACGTTCTGACCTGTTTGTGTTATATAGTGTTTTTTTTCTCTTTGGAACTCTTGTGTTGTTAATAAGATGAGATGATTACTTTTTAATTAAAATGAAAAAATAAAAGCCTGCGTTGTCTTCTTTTGGAGTGTGGAAGCCCTCTTTGGGGGGCTTTCCTTCCCAGGGTGGAAAGGTGAGGTCTCTGATGGAACAATGACAGGTTTTCAGTCTGCCCCCTGTTGCCCTTAACAGTTGCCCTGTGGTCCGGCCTAAAACCATCTTTAACCCTAGCTTCTCTCATGCACCTCACCTAGTTAGAGGCTTTAGTAACAGTTGAGAGCAAAAGCCTGCTGGCTAATTTGGATGCAGTGTTAAACATCCTTGTTCGTGGTCGACTTCCAGTGTCAGCAGGCTGGAAAACAGGACCCTGAGGGGGTCATTTCTGTCCAGTGGCCAATGAAGTAGGGCACACAGTCCTGTTTTGATTTCATCTCAGTTGCCACCTTGTTTTGCCCATTATGCACAGAGTTCGCAGATCCAGAGAGCCACAGAAGCTGCAGGAGCCTTAGAGAGAGCATGTAATCGCCACCCCCTTGAGAAACCATGGGGTTAGTATGGTGAGTGACTGGCGTAAGACCGCCAGAGGGTTAAAGACCAGAATGCTAGCAGTGCTGAGCCTGACCTAGCAAGTGTTCAGTATCTCACAGGAGATGATGTTAGCGCAGTGTGCTGTCTCTAAGTCCCAGCTGTTCTTTGTCCCTGTAGGACAGGGCCCCAGAACTGTCAGTACACATACTGGGCAACCAGACCTAGAAGATAAGCCCATCCTTGTCAGTGAAGGTCAGTGTTTTAGATTAAAAAGAATCCAGGGTCCTCCTGTAGAGCCACCTGGAGTACCCCTCTTGCCGTCTACTCAGTCTTCCCCTTCAACTGTCCAAACAGCATCTCTCAGGCTGTGAAGGGTATAATAAAATTATTTTTATTGCATTTTGTGCAGACGGGAGTCTAAAAAATTAATACAGTAAAAGCTGTAAAGCATTAAATGGGAGCATTCAACAATTAAGGAAAGAACCAACCCTCTCCTTTTCATATTGGCACAAAGAACACAAGATTAATACTGAGGCAGAATGCAGAATACTGAAAATTAAAGGCAGGCCTAATAATAATAAATACTCTTGATTTGGTTTGCAACCTTTCCTATTTACAAGGATTTTCAACTTCATTGCATTGCCCTGCACATAGATAGTCTAAAACAAAAGCAACACTAGCTATCACTACAAGGCTATTGAAATATTGCACTTAGAATAAAAGTCACTTGAATGGACATGAAACATCTAGCTACAATGATTATAAAGATAATTTGATGAATGACTTGTGATGACATTCATAACAAATATTGCACATGTAGCACAGAAAATGGGTTTTTGTTGTGGGATGTTTCTTTTCATCAATGGAAACTGCTCTTGCCAACCAGATAGTCTGGGCCCAGATAATGCAACTCTGGTTCCCTAATTGGGTGTTGATAAAGCCACCTTCCTCTTCTTCCCAGCTCACCACTTGAGGCCAAGAATGCTTAGGCCCCCAGAACGCTAGACCCAGCTGTAGTTCTCAGAGGGAGGTCTTTTGGATGCAGGAGAGTGGAGAGCTGGTGTCTTAATACCTCCAACGTTCTGATTACTACCTGGAAGATTCTACGCAGCCCCCTGGTCAAATCAGAGGGGGCTTGACCAAACTGGCAGACATCCAGACCTACCTCCAGCCACACCTGACCCAGTCTACAGATGGCACCAGCTCCAACTCTTGGCCTTGGGCTCTGAAGAATGGAGGTGGTGAAGTCAGGAGTACCCAGCAGCCCAAGCGCTGGGAAGCAGGCAGGATGTCTAGGTGTGAAAGGTCAGGGCCCTGGAGCTGAAGGTACTGTGCCCAGACCCAGAGAGCACTGGAACAAGCATGCAGTGCCTGTCCCCCCATAGTAACGTGCCCTGGGGGAAAGGGACTCTGCCAGTGTGCCTTCTGTAGGGATAGAGGACACTTCCGACTGGGCTGGTGGAGCAGAAGCAACAAGGACTGGAGTGGAGAAGCCAAAGGCCTTGGGTCCTAGTAGGAGGGCAGAGGTGCTAAGAACAAAGCACATGGAGACTTCAACCTTCCCCAGGCCCAGGTGCCTGGGAGATGTAGCTGGAGGCCACCGCTAGGCAGCGAGGCCCCAGAACGCAAAGGTGACTGGGTCCCCGAGGCCTGAGCGGCCAGCTGCCGGATGGGGAGAGGGGAGAGAACATCAAGAGGCAGCGCTGAGGCCTTCCGGGGCCGGGGTGGAGGTTCCGGACCTCTAAACCAAAATCACCCCCTTCCTCCCTCACCTGTCCCAGGGAGGAATCTAGGGAGGGGACGCCCTCCGGGTCCCCGATTTCAGTCTTTGGCGAGGAGCCATAAGATAAGGGGAGCAGGCGACAAGCCGGCTGAGGAGAGACGCCTGCTCCCCCAGCGAAGGCACCGGGGCGGGGCTTCCTCCGTGGGGCGAGGCCTCAGGGTTTCGCCCCTCGAGGAGCACCCCTCCCCTCCCCTGGCCCCAGCTTGCACCGGAGCCGATGAGAGGAGGTGCGCGCCCTTGCAGCCGCAGTGGAAGCTCACATCCGCGGGGAGGCGAATCCAGAAAAAGACGCTTGTCTCACCTCATCTCCGTAAAGAACTAGAGGGAAAGGGTCGGAAGCCATAGGCAAGTGGAGAGGGCGAGGGGCGAGAGCGGGTCGGGGGTGTCGAGGGACCAGGGCCACGACTCCCGCCTGGGCCTAAAACGCTTCTGCTCTCAAATTCCAGGACGTCAAGGAAAACCCACCCTCGCGAGGCCTCCACCTCCCCGAGGCGCCCAGCGGGAAAGCTCGACAGTGGCGAGAAGAGAAGTCCGTTGCGCTTCTAGTCACAGAAACATGGGGACGATAAAAATACACTCGATGTCTCTGTACACTATGTATAGGCTTGGCCGGCCCGTGAGCGCCCCGCAGCGCGCGAGGAGGGGCGGCGAGGCCGCCGAGCGCAGCCTTCCCGCTGCGCACCCAGCGGGCCGCCGGAGCAGGAGTGCAGAGCGAGGGCCCGGGCGGGGCGTGGGAAGAGGGGGGAGGAGCCTCGCGGGCTACCCGGGGGTCCTCAAAGCCCCAGCTCCTCTCCTCTCCGCGCCTCCTCCCCGCCTTTATTGCAGCGTCTCCTCCTGCATGGCGAGGCCGGACTTAGAAAAAGGGCAGCGCACCCAGAGCCCGCAGAGCGGGGCGCCGACGGGGCGCTCGGGGCTCTGATCTCCGTGCGGCGGCGGTCCTCCGGGAGTCGGCCCCGTCGCACGTGGCCTCCGGGCTTCAGACAGCGGGAAAAGGGGCCAGGGCGCGGGCACAGGGTCTGTATGTAAACGGTGACAGCGACGGCGGGCGCGGCGAGGGCTCTAGGGCCGCGGGCCGGGCGCTCTGGAGCCCGGGTGGCAGGTCCTGGCTCTCAGGAGTAGATGGTGATGACCTCGCGGCCACCGCCGCGGACCAGCATCACCCGGTCCAGGTGCTCGGTAAGGACCTCGAGAAACTCCATGTCTGAGCGCCCGTCAAGGAGAAAGACCCGACCCCTACCCTCACGATGGAACTGGCGTCGCGTTTGGCGTCAGGAAACAGTGGGCCCGCGTCCCTGTCCGAGGTGCTGATCCTGCAGCAGGACCAGCTCGACTCTTCCATTCAAGGGCGAGGACCCCGGTCCCCTGATTGTCTACCCCTCTTTCCCCAACTTTGATTCCAGGATACAATTTTCGTCACCGTTGCGATTGCGGGGAGGCCCAGGCATGTTGAGCAAAACAAGTTTGGCATCCCGGGATTTCTTCACGATGACCTCATTCAGCCGCACAGCAGTGTGCATGCGCCGCACGTTGGACTGGTTCCTGCGGGAAGAAGGAGGGAGGGCGGATGAGCCTGGAAGAGGGGAGAGGTGGGTCCAGTTACCCTCCCAGCCCCCGGCGGAGTGGGCTGCTGGGATCTGGTCTTTGCAAACCAGGGATCACCAACCCCAGATGTCTCCAAACTGAGCTATTCAGAGACCCCAGAGGTCAGAGGCACCAATTGAAGTTTCATGCCAGAGTGAGAAGAGCAGGGACCCTGGCCAACCCAGGAGAGGGAATAAAACAATTCTGGAGCACTTACAAGTTCTCCCACTCCCTTCAGGAAACACAAGAGAAGCAAAGAGAGGAAGAAAAAGAGAGGGGTCAGAAGAAGAGGAATGGCTGAGACCTGGAGCCACCATCGTCCACCCTAAGTGCATACGGGTCCTGTTCCTCCAGCCCCCCAGCCTTCTCCTTGCCACCACCTGCACCTGGGAGTTCTAACCCTCAGCAACTGGGCCCAACCCCCAAGTCCTCAGATGAGGAAACAAAACAAGGCCAGGGCTGGGTCTTCCAACTGCCAGACCAGGGCCCCTTCTTGTTTGCTCGGCCATGGGGAGCAAAGACCCACCCCAAGCTCACCCCGGACCCCAGCCCTCAGCCCCCAGGCCCATACGGCTTCATGCTGAAGAAGTCCTTGATGCCCTCAGAGGAGACAGGACTAGGGCCTTTATTCTTCCCTGCCGCCGACTTGTCCTTGGTCCAGGTGAGATGCACCTTCTCAGGATCCGCCTCCCCCTCCCCCTCAGGCTCCTCCCCTGGAGATGGCGAGCTGCTGGGGCAGCTGGGAGCACTCTGGTCATGGATCAGCTGCACCTGAGGGGTAAAGGAAGGAACAGCACGTGACTCCTTTGGAGGCCAAATGTTCTGCTCCCACTAGCCAGGGCCAAACCACCCCAAATGCACACCTCCTCCTCTGGCTTCTCCTCACTGTCACCAGGTGTCTCTTCTGGGACGTTGAGGCGGAGCCGAGTGTTGGCTGGATTCTTTCTCCGGATTGAACCACGAGATTCATCTGTGATACTCTGAATCTAGGAAGTGACACAGGTTGGTGCCAACTCTGCTGGGAGTCACCATCCATACCCTTCAAAGAGCTACCACCAGAGCTGATGTTCAGCCAGGAGGTGCACTTTCAGGAACTGTATCAATTGTTAAAATATTATGATGCTTCATGAAAAGATGCTCCACATTGCTAATCATCAGAGAAATGCAAATTAAAACCACAATGAGATACCACCTCACACCAGTAAGGATCGCTATCATTGAAAAGACAAACAACAACAAATGTTGGCGAGGTTGTGGAGAAAGGGGAACCCTCCTACACTGCTGGTGGGAATGTAAACTAGTTCAACCATTGTGGAAAGCAGTATGGAGGTTCCTCAGAATGCTCAAAATAGAAATACCATTTGACCCAGGAATTCCACTTCTAGGAATTTACCCTAAGAATGCAGCACTCCAGTTTGAAAAAGACAGATGCACCCCTATGTTTATCACTGCACTGTTTACACTAGCCAAGATATGGAAGCAACCTAAATGTCCATCAGTAGATGAATGGATAAACAAGATGTGGTACATATACAAAATGGAATACTACTCAGCCATAAGAAAAAAACAGATCCTACCATTCGCAACAACATGGATGGAGCTAGAGGGTATTATGCTCAGTGAAATAAGCCAAGCGGAGAAGGACAAGTACCAAATGATTTCACTCATATGTGGAGTATAAGAACAAAGGAAAACTGAAGGAACAAAACAGCAGCAGAATCACAGAACCCAAGAATGGACTAATAGTTACCAAAGGGAAAGGGACTGGGGACGATGGGTGGGAAGGGAGGGATAACGGCGGGGAAAAAGAAAGAGGGCATTACAATTAGCATGTATAGTGCATGGGGGACACGGGAGGGCTGCGCAACACAGAGAAGACAAGTAGTGATTTTACAGCATCTTACTACACAGATGGGCAGTGACTGTGAAGGGGTATGTGGGGGGGACTTGGTGAAGGGGGGAACCTAGTAAACATAATATTCTTTCTGTAATTGTAGATTAATGATACCAAAATAAAAAAAATATTATGATGCTTCCATTCCGAATAGCTCTTCCCCACTGACCTGGCCACACTAACTACTCTGCAGAACTCCTGACCTCTCCACCATCCAGCAACCACAGGGTTAATACCTGGCCCAGTAGGGCTCTACGTAGCACGATGGTCCAGTGTCAATTTTGATTGGCCAACGCACATGTCATTTCTTTCAGTTTTTACTATCACCCTTGGTTAACATATTTGGAGGGTCCATTCTTCCTAACTCAAAGGGGTATCCCATCACTCAGGCCCTGAGATTCCACCAGCCACAATCTGAGAAACATATTATCCAAAGCTGGGAGACCCATCAACCATGGTCTGTTGTCCTTACCAGTAGGATCTGCCATCCATTCCCCAGCAACATGTCACCCACCTCCAAGAGCTCTTCTGTCCCAGCTTGAAGGTACTGTCACTCACTTCCCCCAAGATCCCCACTCCCTGGGATGTGGCTTTCACTTCAGGGGACTGGTGGTTCCACATTCCAAACCTAGGAGGTCTTGCACCCATACCCCATGGAAGCTCATATCATTACCCCTGAGAACCCATCAACCATACTGTAGAAGGTTTGCCCCCAGCTGCCACCATCAGCTATATCCCTAAATATCCATCTGTTATCTACTCTGGGGTCCTACCACATGATCCCTTGTCCCCCACACTGGCAGCCAACAACACTGAGGAACCACTATACATGCATATTTAGCATCCACTACTCTCCCCTGGGGGGAAGATCTGTCACCCATTCCAAAGCCCCTCTGCATTCTGGCTGGGAGGCTTGGTAGATGCAGCTGCAGTGTGTACCCCCACTGCAGGGGAGCCTAGTGCTGGGAGATGGGATCACAGGGAAAGGGTGACAAATAATGGTCTAGGGTGCAGGTGGCAGTGCTGATGGCCAGGAGTGTCAACCCTGGGCCATTCCAAACCTGTGCAGACCCAGAGCTGGCAGCAACTTGAGGCTTTCGGAACCCAGTCGGGGCAACCTCACCTCCCGCTCCCGCTCATTCTTGGTTAAATGCATCTGTTTCAGGATCTGGGAACGCTGCTCCATCACCAAGGTCTTCTCATAGGTGTAAGCCGAGATGTCGCTCTCATGCTGCAGGCAGACAGGAGCGAGGAGAGGTAAGGGGGGCAATGGAGGAAAGCATAAGCTCCAAGCAATCCTTGGACAGATGCGTGGCCAAGGAAAGAGAGGCAGGCTCCCTGCCTTCTGCCGGCCTAGCGCTTCCCTGTGCAATGACTTAGTTCAATCAACAGTTGTGGGTGGCAAAGACAGAGCAGAGGGCAATGCTGCTCCTTGAAAGCAACGCAGCTATTCCCTCCTCAGTCCAGCACAAGACCAGGCATATGAATGGGGGACTTAATGAATGAGTGGATTAATTAATTATTTGAGTGAATGGAAAAGGGGAAGAAATTTTAAAAGAAACAAAGGGATGAATGAATATATATATATATGGGTGAATGGATGGGTGAGTGAATGAATACATTAATGAATACACACAAGGCAGGTGAATGGCTATATAAACTGAGGGGAATGCATGGACAAAGGGCCCTATACTGTAATTGTTAGGAGCATGGACTCTATAGAGACAGCCTGGATTTGAATCCTGGCTCTGCCACTTAGTATGCATTGTTGGGCAAATTATTTAACCTTTCTGTGCCACAACTTCCTAGTCTGTAAAATGGAAATGTTGATAATTGTATCTATTTCATTGGTTGTTGCAAGAATTAATATATATAAAGTGCCTAGAATAGTGCTTCACAGAGAGTGAGCATTATTAGACATGGCTATTCTTACAAAGGAGACAGGGATGGATGGATGGATGGATGGATGGATGGATGGATGGATGGATGGATGGATGGATAAACTCTTGGGTTAATACGTGAGAGGCTAAGAAGTGGATGAGAGGAGAAAGGTCCAGCATCATAAGCTGATGGGTGTCAGTTGCCCTCGGTGCTAGGGTCAAGAGCAAGGAGGGCCAGGTGGGACTCCAGAACTTCAGAGGGCCTCCTGGAGACTCACCATCTCTACCACCTCCACCTCTGCAGTGATACGTAAATGGTACAGAAATGTGGTCAGGTCCTTCTTCATCTGGATGCTGTTGTCATCCATCTGGGCCACAGTGAAGATACGCATCTTGCATTTCCGCCAGACCTGTAGGGACAAAGGGGACCCACCAAGGTCCAACCCAGAAGCAGTGAGGAGATCCAGGGCCAGAACCTAGAGAGGACCCTGTCCCTCACCCTTCCCACCCTCCTTCCCACATACAAGCAGACCCCAAATCCTCCATCTTAATGACCACTCCCTACAAAAACCCTCCTCTAGGTTTACCAGCTGTAAACTCCTTAGTCTCTCTGGCCCTGTTTCACGCTGACAACATGGAGGTAACAATGCCTAGCCCTCACAGTACTGTGGACAGAATTAGCCTTAGGGAGATCCTCAACTCATCTGGCACTCAGAACACAGTCTACAAGTGTCAGCTGTTATCTTACTATGACCAAGTATTTACCAAGGAGACTAAAGCATCACTTGCTTGGGTTAAGCACTGCTCTCCTTTACAATGCAAGGACACTTGGAAGGGGAGGCACAGTTGGTTCCTAACATCTCAGAATGAAAGAGGTGACCAGATCCCTCTCCCAAGAGCCCACAAGGGAGGGGCTTACATGGAGTCTGGCCCTGGCCAGAGCATCATCCATGGATGAGCACACACATACACACACAATGCATGCATGCACACATACATGCACGTGCACTCACTTTGTGGTGCCGCAGGAGGAAGGGCAGCAGCATAAGCATGCCTCCATCATGCACAATCCACCAGACATCAATGCTGCCCTCGGAGAAGCGCTCTGGGTTCCCAGGAAACATGGAAACATTCTTGGTGACCAGCAGGGCCAGGTGGCCAGCCGTGGTTTCCCGAACCAGCTCTGGCAGAGACCAAGGAGAGGGTCTGATGGGGAACCAGTAACCCTGGTTCCCTCCTGCATCCAATAGCAGCCACGGGGGTCCTGGCACCCTGCACCTTACCCCACCTCACCCCACCATGGGCTGAGGAGTCAGAAAACCAGCATCTACCTGAGCCTCAACACTTATTTGTTGTTTGGATTTCAGAAAGCCTCTCAGCCTCTCTGGGCCTCAGTTTTCCCACCTGTCAAGTGGCAAGAACACCACCTGCCCTTTCTGATTATCAAGAACTCTACTATGCATGGCTTCATCCAATCTTCCCAGCTTCCTTTTAACTACGAGCTACTTATAAGGAGACAGAATCACCTGGAATTAACAAGGCAGTCTCCAGGTTTACCAGCTGTATGACTTGGAGCAAACTCCTTAATCTCCCTGGCCCTGTTCCACACTGGCAACATGGAGGTAACAATGCCTAGCCCTCACAGAACTGTGGACAGAATTAGCTTTAGGGAGATCCTCAACTCATCTGGCACTCAGAACACAGTCTACAAGTGTCAGCTGTTATCTTACTATGACCAACTATTTACCAAGGAATCTGATGTTCAGAGAGGGTGAGTCACTTGTGATAATCACACAGCTAGGAAGGACCAGCAGTGAGATTTAGTCCCAGGCCTCTGTGACTTCAAAGCTGTAGCTCTTCCCTGTATGCCCTGTACTGTCTTCCCCTGGACTGTGGGCCCTGCAGGAGCCAAGACTCTCCTTCACACTGAAGTCCTCAGCACCAAGCACAGTGCCTGGCACATGGCCAGCTCTGAGCACCATCACCTTCATGTGCCAGATCCACACTTGCCATGCCTGGGAAACAGCTCCTGGGCCCACAGAAGGGCAGCCCCCAGTCCTCCACAACCCTCAGCCCACCCAGCTTTACCAATGAAGTTCCTCCATGTCTGATGGTCTTCCTTCTGCCGCCAATTTCGGGGCCAGCCAACGAGCACGGTGTTGTGCTGCAGCCCCCCGAGGCCACCAGACTGGATCAGATGGGACACGCCATCACGCAGGTTGGAGGAAATCACTACCTGGCAGAAGCCTTTCACTTTCTCCGCCTCCATCAGCCGCCGAATGGACTGGGGGGTCAGACAAGGACCAGCCTCAGGCCTCTCCAGCCCTGGTCAGCCCCTTGCAGCCTCCTTTCCTCTCTTCTCTCCCCTCTATCATTCCAATCTTCCTGAAGCTCAACTCAGATCACATCAGTCTCTGGCTCTAGAATCATGTGTGGCTCCCCATCACCTGTGGCCCCCATTCCTTGTTGATCAATCAAAGCTCTTCATGACCGTGACCCACACTTCTCACCACCCTGCCAATCTTCACACGGTCCCCCTGCAAGCTCTCCCCCACCAACCAGACCCTCTCCCTGCATCATACATTACACCCGGCCCGGCCCAACTTGGATGTCATCTTCAAATACCAACCCCCAACCCAGAGCAGAATGAAACAGCTCCTCTGCATGGGCAGACAATTTGTTTCTAATAATTTTTAATAAAACATTAGCATAATGATAAGCATTTTAAATGCACATCCAATCTGCATTATGAGGGAAGTGTTCTTATTACTCTCATTTTATGGATGAGTAAATTGAGGCTCAGAGAAATTAAGACTTTCTTAAAGCCACACAGCTAATAGATGTCACTGTAGGGGTTCAACTCCAGGGGTCTGACTCCATATCCCAGACTCTTAACCAATACCCTGATGTCAAACAGAGAGGGCTTCAATTCCTACCTCTGCCACCTCCTGGCTGTGTGACCTTGGGAAGTCATCTAACCTCTGTGAGCCTCAGTTTTCTCATCTTCAAATGGGGATCATGACAGCTACCTCATTTAGGAATAGGGAGAAGGACATGACATGATATGGGTAAGGGCTTAGTATATTGCCTGACATTGTCAACACTTGACATCTTCTCTTACTCTGATGTTACTGACTCGAAGACAGCACCTACCAACGGCAGATACACTTGAGAGCCTTCTGTGTGTGTTCTACCTTCCCCACTGTCCTGTATCCACCTTGAAGGCCAGGGCTTGGCTGTACACATGCCCATCTCCCTGTGCCTAGCTAGTGTCTGATACCCAGCACATTCTCAGCCACTGCATGTTGAATTAAACTGACCAGCAGAGGCCCCCAGCTCTGGGCCCTGACAGATTGGTGCGAACAGACCAGTGAGGCAGAAATAGCGACTGTCACAAGACATTAGGGGTGCCCCTCCTTTCTTACCCTGCCTCCCTTGGGCCCCCTTTCCTCTCTCCACAACTAGTCATAGCCCTGAGGGGAGAGACTCCTGAATCACAGACAGAGCCCACTTCTACTACCCACCAGGTTCCAGAAACCTGTTAGTGCCCTTTAAAGCAGACTCTGGCCACCCCAGCCCACACTGGCTCTTGGACTGCTGCACAGGCATGGAACAGGGATGGGGACAAAAGCAGGTGACTAGGAGCCAGGGAACTGGGTTCAGATCCTGACCATGCTTCCAGCCAGCTTTGTGACTTTCAGCAAGCTGCTCTCTCTCTCTGGGCTTCAATGTCTTCCTGTGCCAAATGCAGATACTCACCCTGCTGACTCCACGTGGTGTGGGATCAAAAGAATCCACAGATATAAAAACACTTTGAAAGATTTGTACTTTGGCAGGAAGAAGTCTGGAGTAGGAGTCAGGCTGTCCTAATTTGAATCTCCACTTTCTGTCCTTAGACAAATGACCTGACTTCTCTAAGCCTCCACTTCCTTATAACTCTGGCCACCCCAGCCCACACTGGCTCTTGGACTGCTGCACAGGCATGGAACAGGGATGGGGACAAAAGCAGGTGACTAGGAGCCAGGGAACTGGGTTCAGATCCTGACCATGCTTCCAGCCAGCTTTGTGACTTTCAGCAAGCTGCTCTCTCTCTCTGGGCTTCAATGTCTTCCTGTGCCAAATGCAGATACTCACCCTGCTGACTCCACGTGGTGTGGGATCAAAAGAATCCACAGATATAAAAACACTTTGAAAGATTTGTACTTTGGCAGGAAGAAGTCTGGAGTAGGAGTCAGGCTGTCCTAATTTGAATCTCCACTTTCTGTCCTTAGACAAATGACCTGACTTCTCTAAGCCTCCACTTCCTTATCCATAAAATGGGCCCTTCAGGCTCCAGTGGCCTTTGGTTCTGGGAGCTGGGTTCTAAGGAACTTCCTCCCTGAGCACTTAGACGCTTCTTCTAAGAAAGAAGACAGAAAAGCCCGAGCCCCTTTTGGTCCCGAAGGTGGGAAGGAAGGGACGTACAGAGAGGTGAGGACCATCTTCCTGGGGGCCCTGCCCCTCCCCAGGCCCCACAGGGCCACTGCTCACCTCCTCTGCCCGCTGGGCCTGGGGATGGTTGTCCAGAAAGGTGCCCTCAAGCACAGAGCCCACAATGGTCAGGCCCTTCCCTGCCTTGAGCTGGGAGGTCAGTGAGAGCAGCTGGGGGTGCACCACATTCTGTTCTTGGTCCACACGCACCAGCACCAGCAGCTGTGGCCTGAAGAGGGTACAGAGTCATGTGATCCATCCACTGCCCATCATACAGCCACCACTGCATGACATACACTGGTGTGTTCACTAACCTTCCACTTCTACACCCCACTCCCCTAATGCCCCCATCACCCATCCATCCACGTAAACATTCATCCATCCATTCAAACCACCCACCCATCTATTTTATCCTCCAGTCATCTATTCATATCCATATTAATTTACCTGCACATGCATTATTGACTCAATTATCCACACACCCACCTACACCATCCATTCACACATCTACCTATTCACCGTTTCCATACATACTACACCTAGCCACCTGCCTATCTATTTATCCAGTCATTTCCTTATTCATTTAGCCATCCCATCCATCCAAACACCCACCGATTGAATAGCACTCCCTAAGCATCTACTCTGGGCCAGACCCTGTACTAAGCATTTGAGAATTCGCAGCCAAATGCAAAGCCCTGGTCTTGGGAAGCCCCGGCTTAGTAGACATCAGCAAGTACAAGCCAACGATGTCCTAGGCATAGTCCAGAGGTGCAGGCCTTACTCGTGGCAAAGGGAACCTGAGGGAGATGAATAAGGGCGGGGCTTGCAGAGCAGTCAGTCAGAAAGCTCCCTGGGCTGAGAGGCTTCTGGTTCTGCCTTCCATGACCTCTGAGACCCTCTCTGGTCCCTGATTTTCATGTGAATAAAATGGAGGGATTATCATTAATCTAGAGACTTCTAGGAGGCCCTACAACTCTCAAAGTGAATGATCCCACCTCTCCCAGAGCAAATGCTACAGGATATTATGTTTCTCTGTCTCTGTGTGCCTTCTCCATGGAACTGAGTTCACTGCGTCCCCAGAGACCAGAAGGGGGCTTGGCACATAGCATGCATTCATTAACAAATGATGGAAAGAATGGGTGGATGAATAGATGATTAGGAGTCTGCTGCGGAGGTGGGGTTTGGAGAACACCTTCTGGAACCCCGCCCAGCCTTGGGGTTACAGGTAGGAAGGGCTGAGGAGCAGAGGTCAAGGGCACAGCACTATGGTGGGGACACCATCAGCAAAACAAAGTTGGTGGGATGCATCAGGCCCTGCTCTCCTCCTCTGCCCCCCGGGGCCCTCACACGCATACCCCCACCACTCACCTCCAGTTTTTGGTGTGCGGGGGCCCCTCCTCCAGGCGTAAGAGGGCATAGCGAGCAGCACTGAGAGACAGGCCGCGGATCCCATCGCCCCACTCCTTCTCTGCCCTGGGGGAGCAGCAGGCCAGAAAGGGGGAGCATGAGAGGGCAGAAAGCAGGGAGTGTCGGGGAGGGTGGCCCATACTGACGTCCTGCCCCAAGGCTCTGGCTCAGAAAGGATGCCATTCCTGTCACCTCTGTTTCTCAAAACTCCAGCACCTCCCTCTGCCCCTAGTCTGGGTCCCCCACCCCCACCTCATCATGCCTCCCCTCAACCCTAGCCCTGTCCTCTCCCATTTCCTGCCTCACCCATACCGTCTCCCTCCAATCACCCATCACCTTGCCCCACCCAGCCCCCCCACTTCCCGCACTTACCCACGGTACTCAATGTACTTGTAGATGAGTCCAGCAATAAGCATGGCCACCAGGGCGTAATACCAGGAGCAGATGAACATGAGGGCCAGGCAGAGGCTCATGCCCAGGAAGGAGAGTGTCCTGGAGAACGGGAGAGGCCCAGCCTCTGAGCCCGGGCAGGGCTGCCACCAGCACCAGGGCTGGGACGGCGAGGATTGGATGGTGCAGGGCCCGGGCAAGGGCTCGGAGGCCACACCCAGGGGGACTCACGCCGTCACCTCCACAGGCACCGCGAGGACGCAGGGCCTTCTGGGTCAGCGAGCGGCCGCAGCCAAGGCACCACCCCCGCCCCCCCAAGCTCCTGAGCCAGCACCCTGCCCTGTCCCAGGGCCGCCAACCCTGCCAGACCACCCTGCCAGATGGGTTCTGAGGAAGGGGTCTCTGGGGAGAGGAAGAGGCAGCGCCCCCCAGAAAAAGTGCCCCCAGGAAGAGCCGGCCGGCAGAGCAGGAGCACTGAGGCAGGAGTCAGCCAGGTTCCGGGGCAGGTACACCATAGTCTTGCTGGCTGACACTGGGCCCATCCCTTCCCCTGTTTGAGCCTATTTCCTTTTTGTAGAACAAGCATGATTATTCCTGCCCTGTCTGCCCCACGGGCCTGGCATGAGGATGAAGAGCCATCACATACAATGACCAGAAGAGCCCCTGACTCCACATCATGGGCATCTTCTGTGCACTAGGCACCATGATGCTCACAAGGGCCCTATGAGCTAGTGGCAGTTATCATCCCCATTTCACAGCTGAGGAAACTGAGGCTTCCTCACCTAGATTGCAAAATGTTGAGCATTATGGACAGAGGACGGATTTCTGCTGAGACTCTTCATGACTGTGTTATATTATTATTTGTGATTACAAGGAGACCCTCTCCAGGACCTTTTCATGCTAGCTGGGTCATGAAACCTGGAGAAAATGGGGTGCCCTATTTAAGTTTGGAATCCTTAGACCTTGATGGGATGGGCTGAGGTGGGGGTTGGGGTGGAGATGAGAGGGTGGTTCTCTTGGGCAGGAAGGGGGACAGACACCCACCAGTGGTAATATCGAAAGCGTGGCCTCCAGTTGGGTGTCCTCAGTAGTGTCTGCACAGCACAAGCCAGGTTCACAAACATGTAACACATCAGGAAGAACCTGTAACACAGAAAGGCCCCATGAAAGACAGAGATGCAATGGGAGGCAGAAACAGAGAAACACAGGGAAAGAGGATAGGAAGTTGGGGTGGTGGCCAAGCCATGTTCCATGGCTTAGGACCCTGATGCATGTGGGGATGAATCTCTATATAACAAAGAACAAGTTTCTATGCCAGTTGTATTGTTAAAGTGTTTAGGTGGGCTACCCAGGGTCACAACTGGAGAATCCAGGTAAGGAGACCCCCAGAACTGATAGGAAAGGCAAGAGGCCAACACGCACATAGAGAGGATGGGGGCGACCTCGTCGAGGGACGCAATGAGGATGCCAATCTCACAGATACAGGCAGTCAGGAGCAAGGCCCACGTTGGCTCTCCGTTGGCTTTGCCATGGCCAAAGACCTGTGGACAGAGCAACCATTATGGGGGCCTGAGACCTTGAGGACCTGTCTCTCTTTCAGTCTTGGGGACTAGCGCAGTAAAGGCAGGAATCTCCTAACCAACGAGGAGGTAGGGAAAGGATGCTGTATTTCTCATCCTTTAGGGGTACTCAAGGAGACACCAGGCTTTACTGTACCTCACCCAACCTGACACTAGTACCTCAGTGCAGTGAATTTCAAACGATTGCTTAAGGGAAAAAGAAGCTCCAGTTGGCACAGATGGGAGAGGAGCTACAGGGGGCCTGCAAGCGGCTATGACTATGTGCTCCATAAATCTCTTTTTTAGGCCCCATGGAGAGAGCCACCCTTTTCTCGCCCTTCGGCTGCCTCCCTGAGCCCCTTGACTGATCATGGGCCAAAGGAGGACCATCTGTTTTTCCCCTAAGAGTAGACAACTCAGCCCAAAGAGATGGCACTGACCACGGGGGAAATCTTAGTTAAGGCACACCCGTTCTTCTTAGTGGCAGCACAGAGCAGAAGAACCCCAGGAGGCAAGGCCCGCTGCAGCTTCGCTCACTGTGCGGCCTCTGGGCAGGGGCCTAGCTGACTGCTGTCGGGGGTGGGCTGTTCACTGTTCTCCCCACACTCCACCCCCAACTGACCTGCAGGAAGGGCACTATGCCATCCCGGGAGATGGCCTGCAGCAGGCGTGGGGCCCCCGTGAGGCTCTGCAGCCCAGCCCCACAGGTGGAGAAGAAGGATCCAATGACAATGACCCAGGGTGATGGCCAGGCCAGTGTGCCCACCACCAGGTTGCCGTTCACGGCTTCACCAAACCTGGAATGAAGCAGCAAGGGGACAGGAGGTACTGAGCAAGTGAGCCACCTTCGACTCTGTGGGCAGGTCTCCCACACCAACTTCAGGATCAACTGTGTACCCACCACGGGGCTAGGCTCTATGGGAACAGGGGGAGAGAAAACGTCCCCATTGTCCTGGGCACGTTCTGTCTGAGTGACCCCAGGCCATTGAACAGTTCCTTGCCTCCATTTTCTCAGCAGTAGGTCATTATAAACCTATTTCATATAATGATGAGAAGATAACGGGAGATAAAGAGCTAAGATGTTTAGCACTGTGCCTAGAACATGGTTCACAGCCCCTGTGCTTTACTTTATCCTTGTCCTGCTGCTCTGCATTTCAAACCTCTTGACAAGGATGCTTACCATCCCCCAAAAGCTCCTTCAAGACAAAAATCATGTGTTACTTATTGTTGTTCTCCCCAGAACCCTGGACAGTAACATAAACATCCAGGACGTATTAAAGGGATGACTAGATTTTTAACGTAAAAGAAAAGGAAAGCATCATTATCCTAAAGGAAATGAGATCATTCAAGCTTCTTAAGCTGGAGTGAAGTAAAAAAGATGAAATAAAACATAAAAAGGTGAATTTGCAAGCAATCCCTGTGACCTGTCTTCCATAAGCCCCCCTTGCACAGGCTCAGCACCTCCTGCTGGGTCTGTTTCCCAGAACATGACCCCCTATGCCCAACCCCTAGGACCCCCCAGAATCAGCCCACATTCCCTTACTTACTTGTCCCGCAAGACGACCCCCTCAATGCAGGCCCCAAACAGAACAACGGAGCTGATGTCTACAGAAGAGGATGAAGGAGAATCTCCAGGGTGGCGTTCCCTTTCTCCCCACCCCTCCTGAGCCAGCCAGCTGGGTGAGGCAGCAATTTCAGCTGCCCTCCCTCCCGTCCTCCCTGCCCATGGGGGTCCCAGCCTAACGGTGCAGGATACAGACAGCAGAAGTGGTGGCAATGGCCAGGATGGTGCCAGTGGGAATTGACTTCTGGGCATCCCGCAGGTCCCCGGAGCGATTAGAACCAGCCATGATGCCTGTGAACAGAGGAGCAGCTAGGCCAGGACCACAGGAGACCAGACAGACGGAGAGGAAAGGACACCAGCCTCGGGGTCAGGAAGCCTGGGATCTAGGCTTGGCATACTGACTCGTGAGGGACTGGGCACATTACTTGGTGTTAATTCCCTCACCTGTCAGTGGGAACTGGAGTGTTGGCTCCTGCCTATGTGATGGGGCTGTTGGACCAAGGAATTCCCCCACATCATCATTAATTCTCTCCTCCCCGTCCTTCCCAGGCAGAGTCCTCCCTCTCTGAGCTCCCCTTCACCTGTGACTGAGGGGAAGTAGATGCCAACCAGCAGGGTGAAGTAGGATGTCATATCGCTGAAGACATAGGGATGGTCCATGTCAACGGGGATGCCATCTGCCAGGCCTGCTGAGGGCATCCCACGCCTCTCCACGATCACCCCCTTGGTCAGGTAGGAGCTCCAGAGGTTCTCTGTGGGAAGACAGATGCTCGTGAGTAAGACCCGAAGTCAGGGTGCCAGTGTTCTGGGGCCAGGTGGTAGGTGGGCAAAAAGAAAGGTTAAGGTCAACTACCTCTCACTCCCCATGGGCCTTGGCTCTATTTTATTTCCACCGACATTTCCTAAACTCCTGCTTGGGATCAGGCCATGTGCAGGGGTTTTGCACATGAATCAGATCTAGTCCTTGCCCTCAAATAGTCCAGTCTAGCAGGGTAAATAGACACATAAAGACCTATCTCAGACTGAGTCAGTATGTCCCAAACTTATCTCACCACCCACCCACCCCAAACCAGCTGCCATCCTATATCTCTTATCTCAGTAAATGTACCACCATGGATTCAGACAGCTTGAGATTGCCCTCAACTGCTCCCTCTCACCAACTCTGTTTCAAAACCATCTCCATCTCCTGTCCATTATTCCTTCTAAATATTTCTCAAATATTACCCTTCTCTCCTTTCCAGGGTTCCTTCTGCTTGGCACTATTGATATTTTGGACCAGATAATTCTTTGTTGTGGAGGGCTGTCCTACAGCATTGTGCGACGTTTAGCAACATCCTGATGTCTATGCGTTAAATGCCAGTAATACCTGTCCAGTTGTGATAGCCAAAAATGTCTCTATACATGACCATAGGTCTTTTGGCGGGCAAAACAGCCCTAGTGAGGAACCACTGCTCCACTCCCACTGACCATTCCATCACTCTAGGTCAGAAAACCATCATCTCTCGCCTGGACTCAACATCAACCTCCTCCTGGACTCCCTGCCTCTGTGCTTTACCCCTTTATTCCATCCACACTAGCGGCCAAAGTGAACCTTCAGAAATGGCAAGCTGATCATGTTTGTCCCTTATGCAAAAGCCTTTGGTGGCTCCTCATTGCCCTAAGGACACGGCCCAGACTCTTCAACATGGCTTCCAAGACCCGCCATAGTCTGGGACATGCCAGCCTGTCTAACATAATTTCCCACCCCTCCTTCCTTTGCAATCTATGCCCCAGTCATACCAAATTACTTATGGCTGGACGGACACAATATGCTCTTCTGTGTCTGCATGCTTTTAGTCAAGCTGTCCTTCTGCCTGTAATTACCTTATTCACCTAGTAGAATTGAAAAAAATCTCTCATTTGTCCTTCAAACCCTCCTCAGGTAAGTCCAGGAAGCTTGTCTCACCACCTTATACCTGAAAGGTCTCTATTCACTGAATACACACCTATGCATAGTTTATTTGCTAATACATCTGTCTCTGTCATTAGACTCCTTGAAGCCGAGGACTATGACTTATTTATGTTGTATTACTTGTGCTTAGCACAGTAGTTAGTAGGTGCTTAGTGAATACTTCTTAAATTAATAACTTTATTTCCAACTAGATGGTAAGATACTTGAAGGCTCCCTTAAATCTCTACCCTTCCATGATGCCAAAAACAGAACACGGCCCAGAGTAGGTGCTCAATTAAAACTGGCTGACTTTAACTGAATCCCAAGGGGAGTCCCTTAATCCTGATTGTTTAACCCACCATCCATGTAGCATTCCCTAGATACCATCCCTTTTCCCTCCCCCAGACCTTTGATGAGGCCACTGGCAGCGCCAGGAATGCCCTGGATCTCTGTGACATTGTTTCGGGTGAAGTACTCATCACAGGTGGCATTGAGGAAGCGGGAGGAGCAGAAAAGGCCCCAGAGCTGTGTGGTCACTGTCTCATTTCCTTCCCAAGCCAGCTTGGCACAGACATCAAAGCCATGGCGAGACAGTGTGCGGTTCCCCAGGAGGCAGATCCTAAGGAGAGAAACAAGGGAGGATGGTGGGGAGGGATATAACCTTGCCCTGGCTTCACAACAGAACTGCCAGGGGAGCTCTAAAATACACAGATGCCCGGGCCCATATCCAGAGATTCTAATTTAATTGGGATGGAGCCCAGAATAAGCGTTTTTTCAAAGCTCCCCCAAATGATTCTAATATGCAGTCAAGGAGTGAATCACAGCCTCAGTGTAATGCTGTTTCAGCACCGTGGACAGCAGTGTCTGCGTGCCATCCTTCTGGGCAGGCAGTGGAATCTGTTGCAGAGAGAGAGGCAGAACCAACAGGGATATGAGCCCTTAGACCCTCTCTCTTCTGTGTCATTTCCCATGATAGGGAAAGTGTCCAACACTAGTAGGCCGTCCCATCTGAGGAAGCTGTCCCCACCCAGGAAGCTTCCCTGACATGGAGTGCTCATCTCTTCCTGAATTGTTCCACTTGGTTCTTCCTAAGTCCACCCACCAGCAAGCCGTTGAAACTGTGCCTACCTCCAGAACCATTATCCCACCCTGAAGGGATTTCCCCCCAAACCAGGAGATATTTTCCCACCAAGGGAGGTTGCTTTGAATCCACAACCACTCTTTTCTGAGAGCTGGGGAGAGGGGAGTTGGCAGAAACAAATAAAGCAGACCCTGGAACTGGACCAAGGAGGAGGACCATGCTTTAGCCTCAGAGCAGCAACTTACGGGAAGTTGGGTGGGTCGAAGGCAGATTTGATGACCCCGGCATAGATAGCCAGGATGGAGAGGATGACACAACCCAGGAAGACAAGGGCGAATTTGTTGACATACTTGACTCCCACGAATACCACAGTGGCCATGCAGGTGAGCACACAGGTGCCATACACACGCATATTGTTCAGCATGGCTGCTGCCTCTCCACTGGCATCTTCTGCCTTAAAAATGGCCATAGCTGGGAAGAGGTAAGCCTGTGGGAAAGGGGTAAAGAGGTCAAGGTTCCAACAAGAACCAACTGAGAACCACCCCCAAGGACATAACCTGAAGTGCATGAAGGGCTTTGGAAAAAAGGTGCTCATTACAACATATTTACAGTTGTGCAATACTGGAAGTGACATCCAATGATAGGGGAATGGTTAAGGAAAGCATGGTCTATTCTGCAAGGACTATTATACAGTCATCAAAAATTACATTGCAAAGATGTTGTGGTTATTAATTTCTATTATTTTGTTATTGAGTATAATTCCTAATGATTATTTATTGTTTTAATATTTCTAATAGAAAGGCAGAAATAAATTAGATATTCATCATTAGAGGACTGAGTGAATAAATCATATTTCCATACAGACTATCAAGCTGTTGAAAGGATAACATAGATTCATATGAACTCAAAAGGCTATTCATGCTACCTTAAGTAAAAAAAATCAAGTTTTTAAAAAAGGATGTGTCTTATGATCTCAGTTTTGTAAATGTATATGTGTACATATGTGTGTATATATATACATATTCCCTGAATGATGAAAATGTGGATAATCTTTATTTTTTTGTACATCTATATTTTCTAAAACTTCTGTACTAAATATTAATATGTTCATGTTCTTACAAGTTATTTTCACTTGTAAATAGTATTTACAAAGGAAGTTTTGAGTTATTTAGGGAAATCTATAGTTACATTTTGCAAAGACAGAATATAATATTGCATAGAAAAAAAATTAGAAGGTAATATACCAAGATGTTAATGGAGATTTTCTTCAGGCAATTGTTATTTCCTTTATTGTATTCTTTGATAGTTTTCCAATTTTATGCAATGACAGAATCACTTTTACAACAATTACTAAATTATTTAATTTTGTTATGGAGGTCTATTACTATTCTCTCATAATTTTGTTCCTCAGGTCTTTTATTCCCCATCCCTCCTCCCTGTCCCCATACTCCTCCATTCTGTCCCAAAACCAGAAGCTGCATCACCTTGTGTTCTAGTGCTACAAGGCAGTGTGATAGAGTGGACAGGCACTGGCTTTGGGGTCAGAAAGACACAGGTTCAAATCCCTTCCACACGTTCCTTAAACTCTCTGAGCCTTGCTTTCCTCATCTGTAAAACGGGGACATCTTCTAACTTGTAGAAGAGTTGTGATGATAAAATAAAATGATAACACTGCAGGCCATGGGGCCCGGGTAGAGTGGGGGCTTGGGAAATGTCAGATCAGCCCTACTTTCTATATCCGAGAGAAACCTCCTCAGCTCTCACATCCTCTGGGAGGGGCAGGAAGAATGGAGTCTGAAGTCAGCAGCCTCTCCAAACACTTCCCTACAACCTGACTTCTCATCAGTCACTACTCCTAACAGACCTTGTACTCAACTCCCTCACATCCTTCTCTTTTGAAACCCACCAGCAATCATCCCTGTACAATTAACAGTCATAGACCTGTTAACATAGTCATAGAGCTGTTAACAAACCCCCTCTACCAATTGGTAGCTGAGTGACCTTGAGCAAGTCATTTCACCTCTCTGAGTTTCTCATTTGTGAAATGGGCATAATAATACTTAAACCTCATGAGGATTCAAGATAATGACTGTAAAGCACTTAGAATTCTGCTGAGAGCACAGCAGGTGCCTGATATACAACAGCTGTTCCTATTACATAATTACTGTCTCTTGTCACCCCAACTAGACTGTGAACTCATTAAAGACAGAGCCACATCTGACTTCCCTTTGGCCTTACTGAGTGGCCTGGCCTAAAGGTGGTGTCCAAGGAGCACCGCTTAACTGACTGGCAGCCTGGGACCCCAGACCTCCTCCCTGGCCCCTCTCACCAGCAGGATTTCGATGGTGCCCAGGATGTACATGGCCCCAGCAAAGGTAGTGCCCAGGTAGAAGCAGAGGCCCACGGCGCCCCCGAACTCTGGGCCCAGAGACCTGGAAATCATGTAGTAGGAACCGCCAGCTGCAGAAAGAACCTAGTATCAACAAGAGGTTCAAGGGGCACTGGGCTGCCCTAGTGAGTGAGGGGGGCCCAGGGCAGAGGTGGGAAGAGGCTTGCAGGCTTTTAAGGGGCTTATAAGGCTCACAGGCCTTATAGGCTGCAGCCCTAGGACCTGTGGAAGACCCAGCCAGCCACTTTGAGTGTATTTTGCAGCACTAATTACCATGTTGCAAATTACCCCTCTATGGAGGTCACAGCTCAGGAAATAGGAAGATGGTGAGGAGGATGTCAGGCAAAGGGAGATCTTGCATTGCCTCTTAACCACCACCAACTGCCTCTCTACCCTCCCCTTCATACTGCTGCTCCCACCTGCCCCACAAACATCACGGCCCAGCCCCCAAGCCTGCAGCCCCCAAACTGCCTCTTTTGGATCTTATGGCCCCCAAAGCCTGGGGCACTTGCCCTCCTGCCCACTATCCAGGCCCTTTCCCTCCAAGAAGCCCCAGTCACGTACCAGGTACAACACCATTGGTTGCAATTGCACTCATGGAGATGGCTGTGAGCATCGTCTGCGGGGAGACAGATCATAAGAGTGGTGGCTGGGATGGGGGCCGCAGTGGCCTGGGTGGGGGCCAAACCTTATATCCCAAAAACACCTGCCAAACCCACAAGTCCTCTTCTGCTGAGTCTCCCTGGCCTGGTTCCAATTTCTACTGCTGCCAAGGGCTTCTTGTCAAGAAAACCTCTTGTTCACCATGCACATGGAAGAGGCGCAAAACTGCAGCAGGAGAGAACTCTGGAAATCCCAGCTTGGCCTCCAACCAGCTGTCTGACCTGAAACAAGTTGCTGCAATTCTCTAAGCCTCAGTTTCTCCATCTATAAAGTAGGCACACTAGCTTCAGCACTGGTTACCTCATGTGCAGAGGGGGCTTGAGGCTCACGTGTGAGGAAATGTAAAAATGACAAGACGTAGGTTTTAGTGAGCATTCCAGTTTTTATAGAGAAGATGGGAAGAATTCAGTTACAAAGCTGTTTGTGACATATACTCTCATTTTTTATGAGTCTGGACATACCAAAATGTTAAGTATTGTGGGATTACAGGTGAATTTTATTTCTTTCTGTACACCTATCTTTTTCATCAATGAATCTGCATTACTTGTGTAATTACACATACACACACACACACACACACACACACACACACACACACACACACAGAGATTCAGACCTGCAAGGATCCTATGCTGGGGTTCCTATAAAAAGCTCAGGCCTCATGCATCCCCCAGGCCCCTGCTCAGCCCCAGCTGTCAAAGGGTGGGAGAGGGGAGGGTGTCACTCACACAAGAGCAGCAGATGAAGACCATGCAGAAGGACTCCATGATGCCTGCGATGCCCACTACCCAAGTGAGCCGCAGGAAGAGGATGACACCAAAGATGTTCTGCAGACACGGTAGGTACACGCCCATGAAGGTGCCCATGCGTGGGGCCTGCCAAGAGGCCAGTGTCAGTTTCTGCAGCCCTGATCACGGCCAAGACCCCAGGCCCACTTCTCCTCCCCATTACTCCAACCCCCACTTTGCTCCTCTCCATCCCCACCCCTTCATCCCTCTTCCCTGATTCTTATCCCTGTCCCTGCCTCCTCCCCTGCTCTCATCTGCCAGCCTTCACGCCTCCCTCGCTCATCCTTCAAGCCGGCCCCTGCCCCTTCCATCTCTATTCCCCATATCCTACCCCATCCCTCCCTCAGCCCCCCAAACTCCTGTCCCTCTGCCTCCATCACCCATCCCCTCATCTGAGTTCATTTTGCCTCCCCCATCCTCTCTTGCCCCACCGCCCCTTTCTGCCCTCATCCCTTCTTCCCCAAAGCCCTCACCTGCACTGGCTTCTTTTTTCCACCCTCATTGTTTTCTGCCTCTTCATGCTCCCTACTTCCCTGGGGCAAGTTGGTATAGTTGGCCAGGCCACTGAGCAAAGAGGACACCATGGGGCTGGTGTCCATCTCCTCCTGTGGATGGTGGGTGGCAGTGTTAGGATTCTGAGGCCCAGGGGAGGCAGGGAGGCGGAGAGATGGGGACAAGGAGCACAGGCCATAGAGGCTGGGAAATGATGGGGAAGGAGGAGGAGCAGGCAAAGAGAATGGGAAAGAGGACAGTATGGTAAGGAGAAGGGGTAGCGGGAACAAAAGGAAGAAGAGGAGGGATGGGGGAGGCTCAAGGAAGAAGGTGGGCATGAGGGAGAAATGTAGGAAAGGACGCTGTTCCCTAGGGAGGGAGGGAGCTGCTGAAGAACCCACCTCAAACAGGGCCATGTTCTTGCCTTCGTACTCCTTTCCCTTCTCTGTGTCGGTGTTGTTGATGAAGGGACTGCTCTCCTTGGGGTTGCCATCACCTGAGTAGGCAAAGGAGTCAGGGGTCTGGTACCAGTTGGTTGTCATCCATCTGCCTGGCATCTGGCTAAATGGCCACTTTAAGTTTTGAACCTCAGTTTGTACTTTGGAAAGATGGCGCTAATGCTACCTCCCCTGAAGAATTTTAGTTAACAGTGTGTATCATGTATCAAGAGCCTCATGCACTCCTTGGCACATACTAGGTAAGTACTTAATGAATGTGAGTGCTTGCTCTTAGAGTCCTGCTTCATTCACCAGTGTACCCTAGGGTCTCTAGGCTCTCCTCTTTGACCATTACTGGTGTTTTGGGGTGGAAATATGCTCTTTCCTGAGGGGAGGGCAGAGAATACTACAGCCTGAGGCCCCAAAGATACTCCACCTCTTGAAGAAGTGACCCCTTTTGGCACCTCTTAGGTCCTTCATTCATCTTCAGCCCACATGCTCTTTCTGAATGTCTACCATGTGCCAAGACTAGCACGGAGAGGGAGGGGGAGTAAAAGGCAGAATAAGCCCACACCTCAGGAGGCCCAAAGGCAGGGGAGATAAACCAGTAATCAAGAATGTCCAGCCCACAGTGACTGCGATGGTGGGGGTGAGGACTTGATAACAGGAGTGAATGTTGAAACTACAATGTTGTTCACATGAAACCTTCATAAGATTGTATATCAATGATACTTTAATGAAAAAAAAAGAACGTCTAACTCAGAGTGGTAAGTTCTGTGATAGAAGTTGAACAAGGGAACTGTGGGCACACAGAAGAGGCAATCAGCCCAGCCCAGGAGGCTTCCCAGAGGAAGTGACGTGTTGTCTAAGAACTGAAGGATGAGTAAGAGCTAGACTGGGAGAGAGGCTGGAGGGTGTTCCAAGCAGATGGAACAGCAGAACAGCATGTTCAATGGCCCAGAGGTGAAAATGAGCAGAGGGGGCTTAGACAGTTCACAGAGAGAGAACAGACTGAGCTGAAAGAAGTTTGATCTGGTTGGAGTCGGAGGAAGGGACGTGTGGGGAAGAGGTGCTTAAGGACGGCAGTGGCATGTGAAAAAAATGAGCCTGGAAGGTTAAGTGTGGGCTGGGTCCTTAAAAAATGACTAGCAGGTGTGTTAAATATTTTGGACTTCATCCAGAGGACAATGAGAAGTCATTGAAAAGTTTCAGGCCAAGAAGTGCCATAAACAGACTTCTGGTTTTGTTTTGTTTTTTTAAGCAATCACTCTAGCTTTTAGATGAAGAATAAAGAAGCTAGTTAAAGATTTTCAGTCATCTGCACTAAGGCTGATGATGACCTACACAGAGCAAAGCAGGGCGATGGACAGACTCAAGAATTATTGGCACATATTTCTGTGCCAGATGTTTGGGGACATGGGAAGGAGAAATCTAGGATAACGCCTGGGGTTTCTGCATGGCTAAATGGGTGGGTGTGGTGCTGTTTGGTAAATGCAGAAAGGGAACCAGCACAACCTCCCTTACAGAATTTTGGTTGACAGCAGGTATAAAGAGCCTTGTGCACACCCTGGCACATGCTGGGCATGTAACGAACATTTGAGTGCTTCCTTGCTCTTGGGGGTTCTGCTTCATTCACCAGGGTACCCTAGACTCTCCAGGGTCCCCTCCTTGACCATAACTGGACTCATAACTGGGGGTGGGGAAGATGCTGAATCTGATTGAGGGTGAGGTCCTGTAGGACACTCAAGTGAACATGTCCAGAAGCCACTTAGATATACAGATGAGACTGGGACCCAGGAGAGATGCTGGGTAGGAGAAAGAAATGGGAGTTACCCATGAAAAGGGGTATAGGAAGTGTGTGAAACTGTCTGCCTGGGTGAAGTCACCCAAGGAGGAAGTCTCTGGGCATCAAGAAAAGGATCTTTCAAAGAGATATAAGGGACCTCCATAGGCACATTCTCTTGGCCCTAGCCATCACCCTTTCTTAGTTTCAGGGCTGAATTCCAATAGACATCCCTCAGGACCCTGAAGAAATTGCAGTGGCCAAATCCCAAGTGAAGCTGAGGCCCCATGAGTTCTGCATCTCCTCTCCCCTCATCTCCTGTCATTCTCTCTCCATCTCCAGCTGTCCAATTCATCTCCCATCCTTCTCCTGGAAACCTTCCTTAGTCACCCAACCAGGGTCCATTCCCAGAGCATTAACCTGTCATAAATCCAATCTCATTTTGACTTAAAATTGTGGAAGGGGGAAGAAGTGATGCCTCACCTACTCGAGGGAAACCCACCACCCACTGTCTCCTGCCACCACCTCCACCTCATTCATCAAGCCAGGAACTCATAGTCCCCAAGCAGAGCCCCCAACCAGCTCTTTCTTCTCCTCACATATGTGAGTTCCTGGGAATAGCAGACCCATCCTCCCAGAGGAGTTTGGCAGATAATAGATGCTCAGGAAAAAATCTTTGGAGGTAAATTCCCCCAGGCTCCCTTCCTGACCCCTGGGGTCTCAGAAGAGCTGTTTGGAGCCAGATATCAGGAAAAATAAAAGTGAGGTGTGTTCCTCATTCTTTTAAGATGCTGGCAAGATGCCTCCACACTATGGTGGGAACTAGAGGGATTGCGGGGGATAAGATGAGAAGAAATTTCTCACTGATTGCTAAAAAGGGCTGGAGTCAAGGAGATTTAAGTTCCAGTCCCAGCTTCACCAGACTGGGCAAGTCAAACTCTCTAAGCCTCGGTTTCCTCCTTTGCAACAGGATAATAATTGCACTTAACTCATAGTGCTGTTGTGGGGATTAAGTGAAATAACTATTGGATGTGCAAGTATAGTTGTGGCTGCTACTGTTACAATTATTCATACACGTGGTGCCCCACCCAACCCGGGCTCCTATCGCACACTCCTACCCCAACCGCAAGATTTAGGGGCCCTGTTTCCCGTGGCGCTGGATGCCTGTCCCCACGGCGTCCGTTCTTAGGGCCAAGACAGCCAGACGCGAGAGAGCCCCTCCTCTCGCCTCTCACGCCCCCTCCCAAGTCCCTACTCTTTCGTGGGGGCCTGGGGCGCGTGCGGGGAGGGAAGGGTGGCGTCCTGGCCGGGGACCCCGCAACTAGGCAGCCCCTTGCCGGTCTCCATGGCGACCACGCGGGCTGATAGCTCAGCGCGGAGACCAGGCGGCCACGCGCCCGCAGCCGCTTATGTAACGCGACGCGGAGCGCGAAGACAGACTCGCTGCCGGATCCAGCCAGGAGATGAGGGCATGGGAGAGGGGCACCTCGATAGGCTCGCCCTGAGTCCTTTACCCCTCGCTGTCTGGAAGGGACGCCAGGCTCCCAGCCTCGTCTGCCAGGGTTGATTTGGTCCCCTCCCTGGAATGCCCGGCGCATTGGTTGAGGTTGGAGGGGGCGACGGGTGAGCCTCATGAGTTCTCAGAGGAGCAGAACTGCGAAGGGGGAATTCGCCCTGATTCTCTAGAGCCAGGAGTCAGTATGATGGGGGAGCGCCAAGTGGTGCGCTCGCGAGAGGCAGGGCCAGACTGAGGCTCAGCCCTCTCTGCCCCCGCCCCCGTCCCCTGGGAGCTCTCAGCCCGAATCGGCTTTCAATTAAGCTGCGGCGGCCAGAGCTCTCCGGGAGGAAGCAGGAGAGCAGCGCGGGCTAAGGAGCCTCCCCGGGGGCCAGGAGCCAGGCCTGGGGGAATCCCCTAGCCAGACTGGGGGAGTGGAGGAGGTCGTCAGACCCCAAGGGGAAAGGAAACCCAGGGGTCAGAGACCATAGCCTTAGGTTCTTCTTTAGTCCAGAGGAGCCCACTTACTTGGGCCATTCCTACCTTCCCGAGGTCGGCACTCAGGTCCTCCTCTATACCCCCAAGAACCTAGGATCAGAGGTGCCAGGGAGTTCTCAGTCTGATGGTCTCTCTTCCCTCAAGCCCAGCAGGTCCTTAGAGCCCCCTATCACCATCCCTGGGCATTGCCCTCAGGCCTTCTCTCTCTGGGACCCAAAACACCTCACCCAGGTCCTGGTGACTCTAGTTCCAGGTCTTGAACCCTACAGAGAAAGGTTTCCAGATGGGCCTGCTACATTCAGAGTCTAGAAACTAATGGGGAGGGGACAGAACTGAGGGGAGTTACGGTTGGACTCCTGTTCCACACACATAGGTGCCTCTTTTCTAGGCCTCATGAGAACTGAATTAAACCCAGAGGCCCAGTAAGGTGACACCCTCAGGGTAGAGAAAGCTGGGACTGGGGAGTTAGGACCATACCACCATGTCTGGGGTTGGGGTGCAGATACGATCTCAGGCTGAGGCCCCATCCTCAGAGTAGAGACATCTGAATGTGATTCCGGATGGAAATGACCGCCCCCACCCTACTTCGTTCCCTGGACACCACGTCGAGATGCCTGGAACTGCTGCAGACTCGACTTTGCCAAACCCTCTCCCCCACGTCGCCTAAGCCTACTGGGGAGAGGGGCGGCTGCAGGGTAAGACAACCCCCAGGGTCACTGGAAAGATGGATGAGCTAGCTGGCAAGCCGGCAGTTCCAACCTCTGTATACCACTCAGCTCCAAGGAGGAAGAGAGGATCTCAGACAAAATATCGGGGACCCTGGGGTCCACAGCCTTCCCAAGCGGCCGCTTGGCTCGACTTAAATCCAGGATCAGAGGACTTCAAGTCAAGGCTGCCAGTCCCTGCAAGACCTCGCTGTATCAGCCCCTGGAACCTTTCGGCCATCCCCCGGGGGGACGTCTGCAGGAGTCTCAGCCCAGAGGGTCAAGCAATGCCCAGGGGAGCGTTTGAAGGCGCAGAGCTCAGACAGCTGGAGCGGGAGGCGCGCTAGTGCGCAAGGGACGCAGCGCCGCTGAAGGGTGGGGGGTGGGGGCGGCTGACAGCAGTGATGGATGACTGAGACCGCTGGGGGGCAGAGGGGGGCCTGCGAGCCCGAGGGGTGGCTGGCCCCAAAGACCTCGGAGTAGGGAACCGCGGAGGAGGGCGGGGGAGAGCCGGAACAGCGAAAGGACTTGTTCCAAGCCCCTAGGCTCCAAGCGAGTCTCCGCACCCACCGCAGCGCGTCCGCAGTGTCCGTGCCGCGGCGCCGGGGATTCAGCCGCTGGGACCCCATTCCTGAGGCCTAACTGGGGAAGCTTAGCAGAACTGAAGGGAAAGGCTCACCCCTGCCCCGCCCTGGCAACCTCACTGCTAGCCCAGGACTGATAGGAAGGGCAAAGAGGGAGGAAATGAGGGTGATCTTGCTTCCCGTCCAGAATAGGAACCCACGGGGACGCAAGAGGGAGAGAAAGATTCCGAAGAGTAGAACTGAAAATCTCCGGAGGAGGTACGCTTCAGTCTGAGGTCGGACCTCGGTCAGCTTTGGGGGAGAGGGCCCGGATTGCACCAAGTGTCCGCTTAAGGAGACACCGCAGCCCGGACGGGGCTGTCATATGGCTCCAGCCCCTAATGGCACCTTTCCCCCACCTTTCAGCTGGAAGTCTCAAAACGAGGGACTGCAGCAGACTAAGCCCCCCACCCCCCACCCCCACGCCGCCGGTCAACACTCTGCGCCAGGACGCCGGGGTCCCTTTCTGAGGAAAGAAGCCCTCCTCCTGCCCGACGAGCTCCACGTCAGCCCACGCGAGCTCTCCCATCCCCTTCCCACAGCCTCCCCCGCTTAGCTAACCCACATCTGCTCCCGGGCCTTGGGCAACCGCTCCCCCGCCCCCGCCCCCAGCCCTGCCCCCGGGCGCCGCGCATTCCAGCACCTCGGACAGCGCCTGGCGCATTCCAATGGAGCCAGGCTGCAGGCCGCCGTGGGCGCCCACCGCCCTGGTCACTCCCAGCCTCTTCACTGAAGGAGGCGGCCCCCCGCTCTTCTTCTAGCCCCAGAGCTGCCTTCTCTCCTCGCCGCCCCCTCCCTCACCACCCCCGGACCGCTGCTTACCGGGGTTGGCTCCCCCATCGCCGTCCTCGCAGTCCGTCAGGTTGTTTAGCATGGTGGCGGCGCGGCGCCGGGCTTGGGGATGGCCGCGCCGCCTCGCCCGCGCCCCTCTGCCCGCCTTCGCCGCTCTCTCACTCGCTCTAGCTCTCTCTCGCTCTCCGCTCCACGAAGGAAGAAGCTGCAGTGCCCGCCCGCCCGGCGCACACACACTCGCACACGGACACACGCTCACACCCGCGCGCGCCCCCTCTCAGCGGCGGCGCTGCTCACCTCATCCCGTATGCAGGAGGCGTGAGCCACTGGCGAGGTTTTGGGGGGGAGCGCAGGAGGGAGGAAAAAGAGGGGACGAGGAGCCGGCAGAGCGCGACTGGAGGTCCCCTTGCACGAAAACTGAGGGCTTGCAAGGGTGGGATGGAGGGGGTGCTGCTGGGGACGGGGGTCTCTTCTCCCTTGAGCAGACGCATCTCTGCCCGCCCCCCGCTCTCCAGCGCAGGCGGGGCCGGCACGTGGGCAGGTGCCATCCCGCGCCCTAAAAATAACGGCAGGGAACTAGGTCGCGGCCGCGGGGAGGCGGCCCCGCAGCGGCTGCCTGACTAGGGGTCTGGGATGACCCCTAGAGGGAAGTCGAGGGAGACTGAGGCGGCGGGGGTGGGGCGCCAAGGAATATAGGTCCCTGGGGAGCTGTCTGCAAAGCCATCCTTGAAGAGGGGTGCAGAATCAGGCCCTCTTTCATATCCCTGTTCAAGAGGTTGGAACTGGGGGTGTGTAGAGGCCAGAGCTCTTAACTGAAGCACTGTGCTGCCCCCAGGGAGGTTCAGGGTCACTGGGCTGAACTGTCTGGTTCACCCTGTCTTAAAAAGGGAGAAGTGGAGGCTGAAGAGTTGCAGTGAAGGCTTTCATTGTGCTTAGATTGACAAGAGCCCTAGCATCCCACCCTCAAGATAAATGCCTGGAGTCCACAGACAGGGCCCTTCTGACTGTAGCATGACCCTGGGAAGGAGATGTGGTGAAGAGAGAAGGCAGAAGTGAGGCTCCAGGGAGCGCTGACTCCCCACTGGGGATGGTGCAGCCTCTAGAGAAGGCAAGCGTTTCTGAGGCTAGCCTGGGGCACAGTGGGGGAGGGGGAAATGAGGCCGCCTGTCCGTTAGGAACCAGATTTTCTCCTGTGGCAGGAGTGTCTAATCCCCTAATCCATGATTGCTTTCTGAGGATTCCAGAGCCAACATGCTCTCTGTGTCCTCCCCCTCCCCTGACACCAGTCCCCCAGAAGCTTGATTGTCCTGGGACCTCTCAGCACTCCTAGACTCCAGACTTGAGCCAGTGGTAGAGACATCTCAGGGAGCAGTATTGAAGATTTGGACCCCTGAGGATTTAGAACTAAACATCCAAGGGTGAGAGCAGATGAAGGGGAAATGATTTTCAGACTCACCCTGGCCTCTAAGACTAGCCCTCTAAAATCCAGGAGAGTTCCAGGACTGAAGAGGATCCTGTCAATCTTCTTATCTAAGGCATGGCTTTCATTTTACAGATGCAAAAATGCAGGCTCAAAGAGGGGGAATGGTTGCCTGTGAACACAATACCAGTGAATGGCAGTACTTGGTCTAGAATCCAGTTTGCTTTATTCGTTTAGGACTCTTTTCCTCACTATACCTGTTTTTAAGCTGGTCCTGCCTCCAATAGAAGGGACAAGGATACAGTCATGCCCGAACTCTTCAGATGCCTCTGATTCTTGGTAACTAAAAAGGACAGAGACTGGGTCTGAGATGAGCTCTCTCCCTTTTCTTGGGCTAAAACTTCAGAGGTTGCAGGACTGGAGTGGCCTCTCAGCTTGCAACTGGAAGTGAACCCAGAAGACCTTCAAGGTCCTAAAAGGCCACCTATATAAATGAAGACCCGGTTCTAGGAGGTGACTTTTCAGAACCATGTTCAGAGCCTGCTCCTCCCATCCCATTGTACACATTCACCAATGGCTTCAGATTGGGTCAGTCATGGCATCTTGAACAGCTGGCTGCAAGGAGCCTCTGAGGGCTGCACCAGTAAGGTGTCACTGCCACTGGGATTATGGGTGCTCAAGGGACTCTTTAGGGTGGAGACCTAGCTATTCGGACAAGGTGTGAGAATTGGTCTTCCTGGCTTTCCCAGTGAGAAAACCACATACACAAAATGTAATGAGATGAGTTTGGACTGACAACAGGAGTTAAAAGGATAGCAGGTGGGTAGGCCAGTGTTCAAGAATTTCTAGGCACTCCACTACACACAGACCACCACTACCACCAGTGTCATGGTTTTCCACTATTCTCCAGAGACAGGTAACATAGTAAAAATGTGTGGTATGTTTGTCTGAGAAATGCTGTGAAATAAATTAACAGCTGAGGTTTTTCACCCATTCCAGGTCTGGGATATTCCCCCGGTGTCTTTCCCTTCATTTGTGATCCAGAGCCCTGGCCACTCAGAAACTGATCCCAGGCCTGGGGGAAACCTGGATCCCAGGGGAGCATAGGGGAAGGCAGGGCATCTCTTTCCCTGGGCATCTCAACTGTCCACCCTCACCAGAGCTCCTATCTCACGAGGCATCTGAGATTCAGGAGACAGTGGTGCCATCCTACTCTCTGCCCCCAAACTCTGTGTTTGTTGGGGAGATAATGAAGCCTTCTCTCTGGGCTTCATTCTGTAAAATGAAAGGGTTAGGCTGCAAAATCTATGGGACTTCCTCTCACTCTGAAGACTTTGTGGTATCTCCATTTATCTCTGAACAAAGCCTGGAGCCCTTTGCAAGGAGCCCAGACCAAGTGAGGCAACAGCCCCAGGGAGAGACCCCACCCTTTTGAGGCACACCCTCCACCTTTCAAGGAGACTGGTCCCTAGTCTGGCCTCAGGCCAACCCTCTGTACTGAAGCTTTGAGAAAATTGCAGGCACTTCCTGTATTGCCAGCCTGGCCTTGGCCAGTAAGGTCATCAGTAAGGTGACCCTTAGCTCTGAGCCCCAGGAACATGGCTGTCAGCCCACCCTAAGCCCTAGGAAGATCTAGGGCTAGGGGAACCCTCTCATTAAAGCAACACAAGATGCAGAGCTGAGCAGGGTCCTATTTCTGACTTCTGAGTCTCTAAGATTCATCACCCTCACTCCTACCTTATTCTCTCAGAGAGAAAAAAGTTCAGGGAAGCTACCCCCTAAGTATCAGGATTGGGAACTGGAAGAGACTTGATAAATTATTTTTTTACTACTCCTCATTTATGAGGAAATTGGGGTCCAGAAATGGAAAGATACAGATTTTCTTCATGGTGCGAACTTGTGGCAGACTGCAGGTAGGATCCAGCTCCCTGACCTCCAGCCCAGGGCTCCATCCACTGAACCAGGAAGAGAGGATGTTTGGAGGAAGGTGCAGCCACCTGACAGGGCCCATTTTCCACGGGAGGCAGGCGGAGGTTCCTTCTTAAGGCTCAGTCCTATCCATCCTTATGTCCATATCATTCTTCCCATGATCTAACCCCCCTCCCCCAGCTCTGGTTTTGTGGAGCCAACACTCTAAACGCCCTCCTTCACTCAGCTCTCCCTAACCTCCGTGCAGCATCCTCCAGACCCCAAAGCCTCACAGTGAACTGATGAGTCCAGTGCACAGCACACCCCACACACACAGGGCTCACTGCAGAGCACGTCAACCACCATCATCTCCGTGGCAACGGGGGCTTAATTAACAGGCTGCAGCCCTGTCACCATGGCAATGGCACCCCAACAGCCCCTCATTCACCTACAGATTCAGCCCATCATCCCTGTCTCTCAGTCTGGACCCCCTTTTCACTGCACTTACCCCCCACCCCTATCCCACCTGGAGAGCTGGTGCCTGCAGATCGCTCTGGTTCATTGAGAAGAGGGGAGGGGAGATGAGGGGGGCGAGAAAGAGAGAGAGAGAGAGAGAGAGAGAGAGAGAGAGAGAGAGAGAGAGAGAGAGCAGCCCATCACCATGGCAACTGCAGCCCGTTCATAACCAGTTTGTTGCCATGGAGATTCCCAGGGCTCACCTTGGGCTGAGGTACTGGACAGTGGATTCTAAGTCCTGCCTTGAGGAGTGATTGACTGGAGAACTCCTTGAATAGGCTGAAGATCTCCAGATCAAATATGTATACCAATAACTCAGTGTCATCCTTCCCAATTTACAGATAGAGATACTGAAACATGAGGTTTGGGCATGGGGAAAGCAAAGCACTTCACCCTCTAGATCATCACCCTTTATGGCTAGAAGGACCCTCAGATAGCTAGCTTCCTGTTCAACTACTTTACACTACAGATGGGGAAGTTGAGGCCCAGAGAGGGGAAGCAAGTTGCCCAAGGCCACACCACAGAGCCTGAGCTACAGCATGCTGGGACTATACTGCAGTGTTTCTCCATCCCCCAGGCATAAAGTAACCCCCTCTCCCTCTGCAGGGGCACATCCCAACTCCTGTTAGTCTTAATCCAGGCCCAGGTCGCTTTCCAGTGTCCTGTCTTGCTCCAGAGAAACTGAATCACAGCAGGAAATGGTGTAAAGGGGTGAGGGAGTAGCTCAGAGTTGTCAGAACTGGCACCCAGGCCTGTCCGGATGCTTCCAGGAGGACTGAAGGATCTGCCAGGCACCAGTGACCAAGGTGTGAGGCCATGTCACCACCAATTTTCCCATGGTACAGATGAGGCAACTGAGGCCTGGGGGCTGCAGCCCAGGGTTAGTGGTAGATTTGAGCATCAGCCTCTGACTTGCTTCTTTCACCCCCATGAGTTGTGTTTCCACCTATAGCTGATCCTCTCTGGCAGCAGGAAGCACCTTTAGGGACAAAACTCTAATCGCTTTGTCCAGAATGAAAGATAATGCTTATATACAATGACCTGCCAAACCTCCTTTCCCCACCTTCCACATGCTGCCATGTCTCCCTGTGGGCCAAGGTGAGGACAAGGATGGGCGGGAGCATCCCCCTGGGGCTAGAGGGGTGACACAACACTATGTGAAAGATACACAGATTCCAGTGTCTCCTCAGGAGCCCTTGTCTACTTCCCCCTTCAGGGAACTATGGGGAGCTTTTGGAGGCTCAGGGCCTCAGAAATTTAAGTCACGCAAATCATTCTTAAGATAGAATGTACAGTAAACTCAGGCACACAGGGACGCACCCCACAGGCAGGCACCCTGGCATCCAGTGACACACAAAGCACTGACTCACTGACCACCCCACAGGTCATCAGAGCCAGCGTGGAGGCTCCTCCCTTGACACACATACACACCACCTCCGCCACAAGCATGCAGCACTCCAGATTCACAGTATTTACACACATCCGCACACCGAAAACTGGGAGCCATATTTTACCTCTCAATATGCAGGAACTTGGAAATGAGAATGGACAACCAAGTAATCACCTTGGGATAAGAGAAAGGGCCATCTTATTCTCAGGCCAGGGGTTGGGGAATGGATGGAAGAAAGGGGTAGGGGAGAAGGAGCCTATTCCCCCTCTCACCTGATGAGCATTAAGCACCTACTAAGTGCCAGACTGTGGGCTTGCAACTCAGAACACAAAGATAAAAGGGTATGGTTCCCGCTCTGGAGATGCAGGAGACACACAAGTAAATAACTCCCATCCATTGGGACATGTGCGTAACGGTGCAATGGGTGGGCAGACCAGGAGTGATTGCCTCTGCCTAGGAGTGAGGGAAAGTAAAAAAGGTTTTCAGGAGAGGTTAAATGAGCCATAACTCACAGAGTGAGTAGGAGTTTCTCTGGCTAATAGAGGCAGGGATATGAACACAAGCAGGTGTACCAGGAGCAGGTGAGGAAAGAGTTTGAGTGACAGACTCAAGGCTGTGGCCTTTACCCTACAAGCGACAGGGAGCTTGTGTGGAAGATGGCCACTACAGGATCGGAGGCAGGCAGACCAGTGAGGAGGCTGTGGTCTTGGCCGTCTGAGAAATGGTGGAGCTTTGGACCAGGATGATAGTGAAGGAAAGTTATGGCCAGATTCAGCTTGTTTGGGAGGTGGGGTGGCCAAGGTATGAGGACCGATTAGATCTGGTGAAAAGATAAAAGGAGGCGTTGAGAATGGCTCCTGAAGTTCTGACTTAAATCTGTAAGGGTGGTAAGGACAGTCATGAAAATGAGAAAAGGGGCAGACAGATTATAGGAAAGACATAAAGAGTAGGAGCCCAAGAAATCTGAGTGGCCATGAGCAGGATGTTCAGGAGACGGTTGGTTTACAGGACTGGAGCTCTGCCGAAATTCAGGCCTCAGTTTGGTCATCTATACAATGAGGGGGTTGGCCAAAGAAACTCGTAAAGGGCCCCTCTAGGGTTTGGAGTGTTTAGTTTTGCTGGGGTCAGTGAGCTCACCTGCGGCTCAGCAGCGACCCCTGGCGGCCCGGGGAGGCTCTTCCTCCTCCCAGTGCTGGGGCCACTCCAGGCGGATTCGCCTCACGGCGTTTCTTCCAGACCTGAGGGGTGCAGAGCCAGGGAGGGGACCCCTGACAAATACCCCTGGGGAGCAGGCTGTGTGTGCATCAAGGACGGTAGTTCTTCACCTAAAACTAAACGGATCCTTCCCTTCATCTCTCTTCTGTACCCTGCAACTCCCATTACATGACTCCACTGCTGCACTGGGCCGTGGAGGAGGACGCCCCCAAACCCGCCTGAACTGGCTCCACCCAGCCCTCTAGAGCTGGAGCGGAGGGAGCTAAGTGGGTCCCGAGGGTCGGGACCGGATTCCCCACGGAATCCTCCCAATATCTAGCTGCCCGGGCTCCAGACTAACTTCTCTTTCTCCCTTCTTCCTAGGACACCGGGCCCTGTCCGGATGCCTCCAGGGGGACTGAAGGATCTGCCAGGCACCAGTGACCAGCAGTACCAGACCCTGTCTCAAAACCCCGGCTCATTTTAACTCCTGCCCTCGACCCCACCCCTAGCCTCCTGGCCCAACCCTTTCCCCTCTGGTCCCGCCCTTTGCTGCCCGCGAACTGAGCTAGTCCTGCCTCCCCGCGTTGGCTCTGGACCCACTCCTTCCCCTGGTTCCATCTTCTCTCCTCCTGTTCCGCCCTCTACCCGAGATGATCCTACACCTTAAGTGCCCGCCGTCCCATCACCCATGACCCAAGCCCCTCTATCACAAGATCCGCCCTTTCGCTTCTAGCCCCACCCTCTTCCATATGACCACGCCCACCTCGGATTTGGCTCCTCCCGTCACCATTTCCCATCCAAATCTCCCCCGGCCCCCTAGGTTCCAGTTCCTCTAAGGTCTCCGGCCCTCAGCCGGGACCACCCACCACCAACCCTTGCCCCGCCCCCTTCCAGCAGAAAACCCGCCCAGGGTGGTCCCGCCCCTTCTATCGCCCCGCCCCGCTCCTGTAGGCCCCGCCCCCTGCGGCCTCTACCTTTGGCGTCTTCCCCCGAGAGGTGGCGGAGATCCGCAGTCGAACGCCGGTGGGACTCTGGGTCAGGGGTCCCGGCGGGCCCCGCGGGGGGCAGCGAGGTGACAGTGAATCGGCGGCTCATGGTGCAGACGTTGGGGCCGGGAGGCCGCGGTGTGGGCCTGGATCGCACAAGTGGCAACAGCCCGGCTCTAGGAGGCAGAAAGAGCAATTCCCCCCGCCTGCCGCCCCCTACCGGACGCGGCGCCGCTCAGGGTCCTAGTGCCCGCTGTGCGGAGTCGCTTAAATCTGGCCATTTCGGTCCAAGGCCCTGCGTTCTTCGTAACACTGGAAACGCCTGAGCATCCTACCCGCAGCTGAGAGCCTTCCCTACACCAGAGGCCCCAGTGTGTGGCTCCTGGAACCTGGGCCACCTCTGCTGCTGTCTCCTAAACACCTGAGTTTCATTCACGCATTTCATTCATTTAGTACATCTAGATAGCACTCCTGTGTTTCAGGTAATGGTGCTATACCCGGGTGGTACAGCATCGAATGAGATCAACTGGCTTCCTGCCCTCCTGTGGCTTAAATTCTAACGAGGAGTGAGAGGACATATAAGTGAGCAAACTCATAGACAAGATGATTTGAGATTGTGGTATATAAGAGGAAGATCCAGCCAGTGAGGTTGGAGAAACCTAGGGACCAAGTGAAGAAAAACTCCAGGGGAAAGTGCGTTATCAACTGTCAAATAAGCTGAGAGATGGTGTAGGATGCATACAGAAGAGTACCATGGCATCTGGCTACAGGAAGGTTATAGACGGCTTTGAAGAGTAATTTCAGTAGTGTAGTTAGGTGGGAACCAGGTGGAAGAAGTCCTCTGAACCCCTCCTTAAACTCCCACTTGGGCCCCAGGTCTGGGAGATGATCAAATCTGATCAAGCCTGCCACCTTCACTCACCTGCCTCAACCTGTAGTTAGGTGTCTCCTGCTGTCCTGTGGGGTCAAATCCATACTCCTCAGCCTGGCACTGGGCCCTCCCATCTAACCCAGGACACCATTCCTGTCTCAGCCATCCCAGAGTCCTCTCTGCATCCCTTTCGTCCACCTGCCAAAACCACACTGTAGAGTTCTGAGTCACTAGTAGTTCCCTCCAACACCCCGTTTTTTCTCTTCTGCTAGCATTTGCACATTCAAATCCCACTGTCACTACGCACCAGTTATGAGACTTCAGGTGTACCTCTCTGTTCCTCAGTCACCTTATTCATAAAATGGGGGTAGGGAGTGATGACAGCAGTTCAAGCAGCTACAAATTGAGAGTAGTGCCTGTCCTGTAGGGTTGTTTAGGGACTGGCTGTGTTAACACACATATAAGCACATGGAGCAGTGCCTGGCATATAGTCAGAGTTGTGTTGGGGTAGCTACTGTCATCATGCATATGATCCACATTTTATTTATCCACCACCTCACCTCTGCTGATGTTACCAATTTCTCTCTATACAAACAATGCTGCAATTACCACCCTATGTGTCATTTCCACACATGTGTGAGGGGCAGAGAGTAGGCACAATTTCAGGTGTAATGGTTCTTGGTAAATTACCCTCTAAGAAGACAGGCCTACTTTCACAGGAAGAAACTCTTGCTCATCCTTCCAGATTCAGTTCAAGCTGAAATGTCATTTTGATTCAGCCACAACATGCAGATTCACACACACACCATTATTCTAGTATGAATAGTCACACCCTGCACACTCTCCAAGTGTGTGATCCCACCACAGAATCATCCTTGTAACTGAGATGGACTCTCTGGGGACAGAACCTGGAGTCTGCATTTTAAGCCAGTTCAGGGCACTTAAGTTTGAGGACCACTGACAGAGAGGTCCTTTAGGACAGAAACAAACACTCCAATGCATCTCTCTATTCCCAATGCCCAGCATTATACTGGCTCCAGGTAGGGGCTCAATGAATGTTTGATGAATGAATAATAGCTTGGCTATTTCCTTGGCTATAAAATAGGAATAATCACATTAACCTTCCTAATAGGAAGGAGTAAATGTTAATATTTATGAAGTGCTTGGAAAACTGCCTGGCAACTAGTAAGCATTCTATCAGTTACATACGTGCATGCATGCATACATACATACAGAAATAAATCTCCTCCTCAAGGTTAAAGAATCCAAGTTTATTATAAACATTCCAACAAAAAAGGAAGGTGTGAAGAGAGAGCCCAGCCCATCTCCACTCCTCCCTGTCCTCTAGAACAGACCAACCAATTTGTATCCGGCAAACTGGCTCCTTTCCCATCAGGACAGTCCCCTTGGGGACCCACACTGAAGTGCCAAAGCAGGATGGGGAGCCCTAGTCCTCAGGGCACTGCAGGATGTCAAAGTTCACATAGCCCACTTGGTCCACCTGGTTCACCTCATTCCGGAAAGTCACACGCCAGAAGAAGTGCTGGTGGCAGAAGTAAGCTTTCTCTGCAGGGGAGAGGCAGGTACAAGAGGGGTGATTCCAACCCTCCTACATATAAATACAGAAACAGGAGCACAATCTTTACAATCATCCCTCCTGCCCTGTCTAGATCTTTCTAAGGTTTTCACATGACATCTTCATCTCCCCCACAGAGATGCTGGAGGGCACAGACCTCATGTCCAAAGCACTGGTATAGAGCCTGGCACATAGTAGGTACTCAGAATCATTCATTCATTCGTTCAGAAAATCCATTCATTCAGTCAACAAATATTTACTGGGCCAAGCCTGTTAGAGGCACTGGGGATACAGCAGAGAAGTACAGGCATGATTTTAGTTCTTTGTGCTTACACTCTATCAGGGTAAAACAGACGATTAACAAGCTAATGCGTAAATAAGTGAGATTGGTTTTGACAATATAGAAAGCTATAAAGGAAATGAACGCAGGTAAGTGAATAGATAAGGAGGGTCAGAGAAAGCCTCTTTGCAAAGAAGGAGAGGAAGGCAGCTCGGTGACAATCTCGGGGTCACCCGAAGGATAAAACCTTCTCAGCAGAGGAAACAGCTGGCACAAAGACCCTAAACTAGGCATGATCCTGATGTGCTCAAAGAGCAGCCGGAGGCCTGTGTGGGTGAAGTGGAGCAGAGAGAATGACTGTAGTAGTGTGAGGGAATGAGGAAGGGAGATGGGAAGGATCAGATCATGTTAGTGTATTTGACCTTAGAATAGGTCATCCCGAGACCATTGCCCTTCAATCCTAACCCCTCCCTACTCCCAGAGAATATATTAAAAGTATTGGACAACCAATACAGCTTGGACCAGTGTGTTTGCAAAAGAGATGATGAAAAGTGAATATTTTGGCAGTCAGCAGAACTAGTCAACTGAATGTGAGTGGTGAGAAAAAGAAAGGAAGGAAGTACAACTCCAGCTATCATCCCCATTTTACAGATGGGGAAACTGAGTCTCCATGTATAGCAGTGACTTGCCCAAGGACACGCAGCTAAGAATTATCTTATTTTCATTGTATTCCCAGCATGGCACATTATAGGCACTTGATAAATATTGTCTAATAAAAGAATGAGCCTCCATGCAAATCATGTGCCCTGTACAGTGGGTGAAAGAGCTTCCAGCTGGAGAGTCCCACATCTGGTTGTGCCCCTGTGCCCCTGTATAATCTGGGGAAGGTCCCTGACTCTATAGGGAACTTATGAGTGTTGAGGCATTTGCATAACCTTCCAAGGACTTTTTCTTTCTTGCCTAGAATGTGACCGATCACTAAGGGAGGGGAGTCTAGCATGGGAGATGTCTTGGGGAGCGACATGCCCCTGACCCGCGTCTGCAGCCCTAACCTCGGTACTGGAAGACGTCGTGCGCGTTCAAAGGCACCCCGGGAAACATTTGGTCCACAGGGCTGACACTGCTGGAATCCACGGTCTGTGTCTTCAGGTTAAACCTGCAGGAAGGCAGCGGGGAGACAGGTGCTCAGCCGGCGGGAAGTCGGGAGGATGGCACCCGAGCTCCCCCTGCTGGCCATCTCATTTTTCTCACCTCCAGAAGCGGGGCCCGCTGAATAACAGCACTTCACCTCGGCCGCTCCGGAGGGCCCCGGTGACTTGGGTCACCTCCCGGCTCAAGCCCAGCTTGTCCAAACGCCTCGGGCCTAGCACCGATGCGCCTGTGTACACCCACACTTGGCGCCCTGCAGGAAGAAGGGTTACAGAGGTCTGGGGGCAGGGAGGGATAACACACTTTCCTTGAATGTCAAGGGAGAGAGAACCTAGCGAAGCCTTTCCAAGTGCGTGCCCGCAGTCTCTGTGCCCAAGGAGCCGAGCCGCTCACTACGACTGTGCTAGGGCGCGCTGAGGAGGGGAACTGAAATCTAGCCCCCGCTAAATTTGCTAAATTGCACCGCCAAGAGGGGGCGCCGCACAAGACATTTTATGGATTACACTTAGTCTCTAGGTCCTCCTAGATCTCTGAGGACGGTGGCGGGAGGGGGAAAAAAGGAGGAAACTAACCAGAGAAGAAGAAAATCTTCTTGGTGAGAGGATCCTCAAAGGCAGAGTCCAGCTTGCGGGGTAGGGCAGGCCACGTGTCCGTGATACGGAAAGGACCCTGCACTCCCCGTCTCTTGCCCTCAGAGAATCTCCAGTACCTCCTGGGAACGTGAAAAGGGAATGGCAGGACATTGAACCTTGAAGCGAAGGTAGTGGGCAGGGAGGGACAAACAGGTCCCTCCTCCGAACCCCCTCCCTGAATTGCAGATCCCTGCCCCTCACCCATCCTTGAAGAAATGCAGGTGTTTCCCGATCTCTGTGATGGCGTCAAAGATGTTCACGTTGCAGGCATCCTCCGCTGGATCTATTGACACTGTAGGGGCCTCAGAAGGGCCAGCAGTTGGGGGACCCGTGGGGCCAGCTGAAGGGGGGCCTGTAGGGCCCGCAGTGGGGCGCTCTGAGGGGCGGGTAGTGGGAGGTCCAGTGATGCAGACTGTCGGGAGAGCAGTGGGCTGGGACTCAGGTGTGGTGGTGGTTGGAGGCCGTGGTTCTGGTTCAGGGCGAGGACCTAAAAAGAGACACCAGATGAGGTGCCCCTATTCCTGTATATCACTGTGCCCATGGATATCTGCTCCCCAAAGCCTATCAATGAGCACCCTGGCACTCACTCTCCTCACTGTAGATGCTGGAGCCTGCCTGCCTCCAACCACAGACATGCAGCTTCCTTTCACACACTCACCTTTCATTCCAGCCACATTTAGCCAATCCAGGGGCTGTGTCCTATGAACACAAGACATGCAGGAACACCCCTCCCCACTTCCAGGCTAGTGGGAGAAAAGCATCCAGGTGAAGGCTGGACTGTCTTTTGTAGAGTCTGGATTCTTTATCACCATCTCCAAGCATTGACCCGGCAGCAATTGGACCCAGGGGCCCTGGGCTTTCCCGCAGATACTGAGGTCCCAACCTTTCCCCATCCTCATTCTCCCTAACTAGCCCTTCCCAGCCCTTCCCTCTCCTCCCTCCATCCCCGGCCCACAACCTCACCATACAGATACTGGATGCCCTTCACATCGTCCTCATGCAGAGGCGACTCCTCAGTGTAGCTGTACATGGGGTACATGAGCGCTTCTGGTATAGATGAATGATCTAAGCCTAGCGCGTGGCCAAACTCGTGTGCCGCCACAAGGAACAGGCTGTATCCTGGTCGAAAGCGGGAGTCTGATGTGAGCCCTGGGCCGCGCTCCCAGCCCTGACCATCCCACCACTACCACCACCACTGCCCCGGAACCTGGGAACCCTGCCTACCTTGGTCTGGGCAGAAGCCCCACTTCTTGTCGCGGTCGAAGTTCGAGGTGGTGGCGCACCAGAGGTACCCATCACTGCGGCCTTCTCTGGTGCAGGCCGAGTACTCCTTGCCCAGGAAGATGAAAGGGAAGGAGCACAGTTCCCCCGCCGAGTTGCCCCCGGTCACCGTCGAGTCGACTGGAGAGACCAAGGAGCTAGAGAATCTTGGTGGCCTATTTTAAAACCCTAGGGGCCATTGCGGGCACTAGGCGGGTGGGCGGGACCTGGGGACCTGAGACCAAGAAAGAGGCAGCTGGCTGGGCTAAAAGGCCAAGCCACAAAGATCGGGTGGAGACCATTAGAAGTCAGAGGGTTGTGGTGATAGTGACAGAGCCACCGCGGTCCAGGGGACCAACCAGGAGTCGGAGAGACAAACTGACGGTGCGGGGGTGGAGCCACGTTTCGGGGACCAATCCAGGATCAGGGGCGTGGCTGAGTCTGGTGGGCGGGGCAGAGTCACCTCGGGTAGGGCAGAAGCCATAGAGTCTGTCCTGGTCGTAGCTGGAGGTGGTGGCGCACCAGCGGTAGCCGTCCGAACGACCTTCGGTGGTGCAGGCGGAGTAGGAGCGGCCCTCGAAGGTGAACGGAAACACGCAGGGCTTGCCGTCCGCATTGCCGTCCAGGGTGTAGAGTCCTGGGGAGGCCCGTACGATTACCACGAGGTGCTGAGAGATTATTGACCCACAGATCTGTGTACTCCGTCCCTCCTCTCCTCATTCCACAGATCAGGAAACTGGGCCCAAAGAACAGGAGAGCAACATGCAGGCCACACAGCACAGCGGCAGAGCTGGCATTAAAACCCAGGGTTCTGGACCCTCAAGGGTGTTCAGGGACCCCCAACCTTGCCGTGACCTTGCACTCACTCTCGCTGGGGCAGAAGCCAAACCGTTGGTCGGTGTCATAATCTGCCGTGGTGCTGCACCAGAGCATGTCGTCGGAGCGGCCGGCCGTGGTGCAGGCGGAGTAGGAGCGGCCCTCGAAAGTGAAGGGGAAGTGGCAGGGGTCGCCACCTGCGTTTCCAAAGTGGGTCGGAAGTACTACAGGGAGAGGGGGAGACGGGTCAGGATGGCTGGTGATGGGTGTAAGAAGAGAAGGGAATGGGGGCCGGGGCAGCTCAGGATCTCACCGACTCCCTTGCCCAGAGACCACAACTCTTCGTCGTCGAAGTGCGCGTCTCCCTGAATGCCCTGGCCGGGAGGAAACGCGTGTGCCAGGAGCCCGTTCTTCCCGTCGAAGGGATACCCGTCTCCGTGCTCTGAAGAAACAAGTGGAGAGAGAGTCAACCGAGTAGAACCGCGCTGATTGTGCGCCGCCCTCGGGCGCTGGACAGAGTGCGGACTGAAACCCCGCCTGTGAGCGGCTGCCCAAGCCTTGCGTCCCCCCGCTGGGCCGTGGCGGACAGGAGGGGGCAGGTAAACGCGAGCAGCGACCAGGCTGCCCAGACAAGATAGAGAAAGCCGGTTCCAGGGCCCGCTCTACTCTCTCCGTGGTCCCCCTCATGCGGGTCCGGGCCGAGACCCGAGCTTTGCCCTTCTTGCGTTCTCACCCCTAACGCCGAACTGAATGACGATGTCAGCTTCCCGGCCGTACACGCGAGTGAAGGTGAGCGGGGTCACTGCGCTCCAGACAGCGAAGGCGCGGGCAAAGGCGTCGTCAATCACGTCGCGCGGCAAGTCTTCCGAGTAGTTTTGGATCCTGTCGAGGAAAGGTAGGAGGATAGAGGTCAGAAGTGAGAAGCCGGGGCAGCAGCGACACCCGGTGTCTCCGGGGCTTCAGCATACGCGCTATGCTTTCATCTCTAAAGCACTTGCAGGCGCATTCGTCTCTTTGGACACTCACAAGGGCCTTATCAGGAGGACTTAGATTGAGGGCCCATTTTCCCAAAGGGGAGACAGGCTCCGAGATGGAACGACTTGCCCAGTCTGCTCACTTAGTGAAACCCAGGGATCGGTCTAGAACAGGACGTGTGCACCGCGGGCGGATGAGCGGGACCGGCCTCCCCACCCCACCGCTCCTGCCCCCGCGGGGCCGGGCTGCGCACCAGTACGTGATGTTTTGGTGGTGCCACTTGAGGTCGCCCTCAAAGGTCTGGAATGTGCCCAGGTCTGGAACGCCGCAGCGGGGGGTTCGCATAGCCTGCAGGGTGGTGGCGTCCAGCTCGCCAGTCTCAGGGAGGGACAGGCGCCTCTGGAGAAGCCGCAGCACCGGACCCAAGGACTGCTTATTGTCGCTCATCTCAGCCACTTGAGTGTAGCCATAGCGGTAGAGATATTCCTGTGGATGGAGAGGCAGAGATATTCCACATCCCTGACTCTCATTCCCTGCCCTACTGGGCAGGACTCCATCCCTCCAGGCATCCAGGGACTAGCTGCCAGGCATTGCCCTCCAAGGCTCGATACCTTGGAGAGCAATGCTTGTGCCCAACCTGTGAATCTCCCTCCCTTAGACATACTCACCTCCTTCCCACCCTTTAATGCCCTGGTCAGTGCCTGCCTCAGGGCGCCCCTAGGGTTTACTGCTGTTCACCACCAGCCCGTGCCCACTCCAGAACCCTCCAGTGCCCACCCCCCATTTCCCATTGCCCACCTAGGAAACCCTCATTAACCCATTCCTGGCCACCACTGCCCAGAGCCACCACAGGACTCCCCGGTGCCTGATCCTGGACACCTCTGTTCTCCAGACACTCATATCACCCCCAACATACCCCAAAGGATCTCCTCTGAGATCCCATTCCTTTCCCAGAAATTCAGCCAGCCCTGCCCAGCTCTAGACTGGGATGTCTGCCTACCTCTGCCAGCTGCCGGTCAGAGAGATTGGCTCGCAGGTCCCCTGGGAAGACCACCACAGTAGGTTGGTGTCCTCTGGGAGCCGCAGAGCAGCAGCCTAGCACCAGGAGCGCCAGGACCAGGGGCTGCCAGGGGCTCATGATGAGGGTAGCAGTGTCTGGCTGCAGCTGCCCTCGTGGGGGCTTTAAGGAGGCACTGTTAACTGAATCAGTGACCCCGCCCCTCCCTGCCAGGCTGCTGCTGACTCAGGGGATGGTGTGTGTGTGTGTGTGTGTGTGTGTGTGTGTGTGTGTGTTGGACAGCCCCAGCATGAGAAGGCAAAGAAAGGGCTTACACCACCTCCTCCACTCTCCCTGTCCACAGGACCCCAGACCCACAGGAAACCGCAGGCCCACAGAGGAGGTGTTGGGTTTTGCAAACTGCAGAGCTTGTGAGAACTGAATGAAAGAAAGGGAGGGAGGGAGATAAGGCCAGAGGACTCCCTGAATCTGGTATCTGAAGGCTGCAAGTGGTCAGCCTAAGGGAAGGGGATGGAAGGTTCCCTTAGGCCTCTTTCTGAACCTAGTCATCCCCCTTCCTGGTCAGACGCCTCCATAGGCCCCTACCCACACTCCCAGGCTCTGTCCTCTTTTCTCCTCCCTGAAAGCCTTCCCTGACTCAGCTTCCTCTCCCTGCTCCACCTGGGGGTGGAAGGAGTGGGTTCTGGTAGGCAGAAATTGGGGAATTCCACTGGGCAACCCCTGTCTTGCACAGGCTGAATCCGCCAGGTAGTAAAGGGTGCAGTTTATGGCATCTGGAAGCCAACTGACATGGCTTCACTCTCTGCCCTCAATGCCTCCGCAAACGTCCTCACCACTCTAAATTTGTTTTCTCAGCTGTAAAAAAGACCCTTTGTCCCTAAATTGATGCGAGGATAAAATGAGATCAAACACATAAAATGCTTACTACAGGGCAAATCTGGGCCAGGACCATGATTCCAACCTGAATTCAGGAGATTGGGGACTTGGGTTCTAATCTGCTGTGTGACCTAGAATAAATGCCTTCCCCTCTCTGGGCTTTAGACTCCACCTGCAAAATGGTGGTGGTTGGGGGTGTGGGGGATATGATCTCTGAACTTTCAGTTCTCCTCCCTGGTCTACCCAGCACAAGCTCTAGCCCACTTATCACCACTTATGCTGGTACCAGCAGCCCTCCTCCCTCCCTTCTTCCCGGCCAGAGTGTACGTGGGACAGGATCTGTATATGCTTTCTTCAAGGCATTATTTGGGAAGGACAATCGAAACAATTAAACAAGCTGTATTTAAAGGGCTTACTATGTGCCAGGCACTTTATATGCTTACCTAATAAACGAGTCTGTGAGATGGATACAGATAGCTTCCCTTATAAGAAAATTGAAGCTCTAAAGTTCACCAATTAATGAGCACCTGCTTTGGTTTTCACTCCCAGCTCCACCATTTCCCAGCTATGTCACCTTGGGCAAGTCACTTCACCTCTGAGCCATAATACAAATGCATTATTTGAGATTTTCTGTGTGGAGTACTGTGAAAGTTCCCTATAAGCATCTCATTTCATCCTTGCCACCATCTGTGAGCTTGATTTAGTAAGTACCCCTCCCATTTTCAGAGGAGGAAACTGAGGCTCAGAGCAGTTAAGGTACTTGCCTATGATCACACAGTGAATTAATACACAGAAACAGGAATCAAGCCTGCGGCTCCTGGTTCTGAAATTTTCATCTTTAGTATCACATACAGGGAACAGATGACCAGAGGTTAGAGGGGAGTGGGAGGATGAGATAGGGAAAGGAAGACTTAAAACTTGGAGCTTTCTCCCCTGATTCCCTGTGCCCACTGAAGATCAGAGAGGATGTTCAGGCCTTTGGAGAATCAGAGGCTAGGAAAGGGGACCCAGGGAGCCTATATTCCAGAGTTAAGAGTGCAGGGTCCTAAAGCAATATGATTTTAGAGATGGAAACAAAGATACCCTCCAGTCCAGGCATCTTCAGCTGGTGGCAGACATGGGTTTTAGGATGATCCATGAAACACCCCCAACTTGCCATCAATTGTACAAAATATGTCATATCTAAGTACATATGTCACATCTCTCAAATTTGACACTATTGACATTTAGGACTGTATAATTCTTTGTTTTGAGGGGCTGTTCTGTGCATTGTAAGGTAATTAATAGCCAGCCTCTACCCACTAGATGCCATTTCCCCTTGCCAGTTGTGACAACCAGAAATGTTGCCAAACATTGCCAAATGTCCCCTGGGTGGGCGGGAGGGGCAAAACCACCACCAGTTGAGAACCACTGATATATATATATTGATTTTTCTATGTAAAGAGTCCAAACTTTTATCATATACTTAAACTATTGATGATGATGATCCTAAAACCTTTAAAACCCACTTACGCAACAAATATTTGTTGAGTTTTCAGTGGCCAGGCATTGTGCTAAAAATTAGGAATACAGGAGTGATCAAAATAACTTTGTCCCTGTGCTCATGACTGAGAATCCAGGAGGGGAAAGACTGAATGAGTAATGAATTATCTAGGAGATAGACATCACAAGAGGAAGGTGTGCTTGCTACTCTAAATATCCCCATGATGCAGATGAGAAAACTGAGGCCCAGAGTACAGACTTTATCTCCTAGGTCACAGAGCAAGCCAGGGACAGAGTAGGCAGGGCAGTAAGAAGCGGTAGCTGCGAGCCTGCACTCTGGAGCCAAACTGCTTAAGTTCAAATCTCAGCAATGGCACTGCTACAACTGACATAACCTGTCAGTGCCTCAGTTTCCCCATCTGTAAGAGGGGGTTAATAATAGTGCTTGTCTCATGGGGTTGTAAGGATCATATGCGTTAACAAATCTAAGTGCCTGGCACATGGTAATAAGTGCCTGCTGCTGTGCTTACAGTTGCCTTTGGGCCACCTGGCTGTTTTTACTAACCAGGGAGCAGGGAGAGAGCACCCCAGCAGGAGCTCTAGAGCTTGATTCCTGGAGTCCATCCAAGCAAGAACCCTCCTTTCCTCACTCCCTCCCAACTTCCTCCTTTACCCACTGCCTCCCCAACCCCCAGCAAGGGGAACTTGGGGAGAGCTTGACTTTCAACACAGCAATGTCAGGAAGTGGTTCTGGTTACCACATCCCCTTCCCCACTTCCCCCAGCCCCTCCTTCCAATGCCACAAGTTTAGCCAAGGCCCTGGGAGAGGAGGCTGAGCAGGATATACCCCAGGTGGGCTCCTCCTAACCCTGACTGGAGGCCTGCCTTCTCTAAGGCCTGCACCCAGGTGGAGCATCAGGATGGGGAGGGGGCTGATCCTGGAGCCGAGTCACCAGCTGGATGACACAGCCCTGCAGGCTGCTGTTAGTAACTCCAGGCCTCCAGACCGGAACAGCCTCATGAGATGAGGAATCTCCCCCCTCTCTAGGATGGGGGAACTCCAAACTTTTTTTCCCAAACCTAACAGAGAGGGGAGGGGCAGCCAGGCCTGGGATGCCCCGCCAGGAAGTGAGGAAGACAGTTGTGTCTGGGATGAAGCAGAAAGGTTTGTTTACTGCAAGACACTGCCCCAGGGAACAGCATCATTCAAGTTCCCACCCCCCACCCACAAACACACCTACCGTCCCTAGCTCCAGGGTGGTGGCAATTATGCTGACTCTCAGAGGCCCTAATAATAATGTCATGCCTCCCACTTATCCGTATTGAGCATCTTCCGTAGGAAGCCATAGAGTATAGGCTTTGGAATCAGACCTCCTGTGTTCAAATTCCAGCTCCATACTCCTCCTGGCTGCATGACCTTAAGCAAGTCGCTTTGCCTCTCTGCCTCCGTTCCCTCATCCATAAAATGGGGGGAGAGCATTCCTCATTCAAAGGGCTGTGGTGGGGATTTAATGATACACATTGCAAGTTTTTAGCACATAGTAGGTATGCCAAAAAATGTTGGGTATTATGATTCTGTTACTCTAGCACTCCCACCTTTACAAATTAAGACTTATGACCCCAGTTATCTTTACAAATTAGGATTCATGAGCCCTTTCTCTGGTGAGGAATCTGTGAGACTCAGGGGTTGCCCAAGTCCAGTCAACTTGCAAGGGAGAGATGTGAACTCAACCCAGACCTGACACCGGCACCTAGTTCTTTCCAGCACATTCGGCACATGCCCAAGCCACCTCAGTCGGCCATCATTCTAATAGTCAGTGCACTTGGTGGGGGGTTGGGGGGGACACAGTGTTGAACAATCTATCCAGTGCTGTCATGTACCTTATTACATCTGATGTGCACCAAATGGAGGATTTTCTTAACGTCCTATTTGAATCTGAGCTTTCAGACCCGTTGACATTCAGGGCAGCAGAGATCATAAATCATTTTTCAAGATGATGGATCAAAGGCCCAGAGAAGTGTTTCAAGTTGTTCACTGTCACACAGCTGGTGAGTGACAGAGCTGCCTAGGCCTTCTGACTCCAAATCTCGTGCTAAGAGCAGATCACTGGATCTGGCAAGAAGGAAGTCAGTAAGGGAAGCAGCCTGGGGGACTGGGGTGGGGGGGTGCCCAGGAGTCAAGCTGGACGGGGAAAAGCCCAGGAACCAACAGAGAGAACAGGTGTGGGATATTTGGCTGAGCTCTGTAGGACAAAAATGGGGGATAAAAAAGGAAAACAAAAGATTAAGTAGCCAGAAGGGGCAGAGAACAGTCAAGGGGAGTTTATTTTAAAGCGAGAGGATCATGTCCATAAGAAGGGATGGTGCTGTGGAAGGAGAAATGTGCCAGTTTAGGAGGAAAGAAAATGAACCTGGGACCAGTTCCTTTGGCATCCAATTGCCCACAGGCTCTGCTTGGTGTCCTAGCAAAGCAGTTGCAGCCCAAAATACACATTTAAAAGACTGTTTTTTAATTAAGACTTTATTTTTTAAAGCAGCTCAAGGTTCACAGCAAAACTGAGGGGAAAGTGCAGAGATTTCCTATATGCTCCCTGCTCCCCCCCCCACATGCAGCCTCTCCTGTTATCAACATCCCCCACCAGGGGGGTAAATTTGTTTCAATCCATGAACCTGCATTGACACCTCATTATCACCCAGAGTCCAGTATACATTATGCTTCACTCCCTGGTGTACTTCCTGTGGGTTTGGACAAATACACAGTGATGTTTGTCTATCATTACCATGTCAGACAGGGTAGTCTCACTG